ATTTGCCAATATTTTCGAAAAAATCTTATAATCTGTGTTCAAAAGAGATATAGGTCTATAATTCTTAGGCTGGTTAAGATCTTGATCCTCCTTTGGGATCAACAATATAAAAGCCCTTCTCCAAGATGGAGGTATTTCTGCACCCAACAAAATACTATTAAAAAGTTCCTTTAATGGTTCTATCATTTCTTCAGATAACATTTTATAATAGATTGCTGTTAATCCATCTGTACCAGGAGCCTTACTAACCTTTAATTGTTTAATTGCCCAAATGATTTCCTCCGAAGTAACTAAACAATTCATCTCATCTCGTTGATCGTTTGAAAGTCTGGGAAAATGTGCTGCCTGTAGATACTTTTCTATATCTGAAACTTGTATGCTTTCACTAGCATATAACTTTGAATAAAAATCTAAAAAACTCCTTTTAATCAAATTTTGTTGATATACCTCTTTACCTTTATAATCTATTTTCTCTATAACCCTTAACTTCTGTTTCTTCCGTAATTGATAAGCCAACCACCTACCAGGCTTATTTGCATTACAGAACGTGTTATGTTTCATATACCACAAGTTAGTTGCAATCTGATCAGCCATTAACATATTAAATTGCTCCCTAAGCATAGTTATAGAAACCTTTAAACTATTGTCCAATGGATTTAAAATAAGAGCCTTCTCTTTCAGTTTAATCTCTTCTTCCAACTCTTTACATTTTTGCATCTGTTTATGCCTGTGCGCATTATTCATATGAATCAGAACCCCTCTCATGTAAGCTTTACTAGCATCCTACACCATTGACACCGAGATACCCTTATACATATTCAAAAGGAAAAATTCCTTCAAATATTCTCTATATTTCTGTGAATTCCCCTCATATCTAAATAAATTTTCATTCAATCTCCAAGTCCTTCTATTCCCATCTTCAACAGATAACTCCAGCCATACAGGACTATGGTCTGACAATATTCTAGGGAAAATCTTGGCATTCTTAACCCTAGAAAAAAGATCAGTAGTGATTAAAAAAAAGTCAATTCTAGAATACGATTGATGCCTGTCCGAGAAAAAAGTAAAGTCTCTTTCTTCAATGTTTTGTTCCCGCCAAATGTCTCTAAGTTCCAAATCATCCTTCAAATCAAAAAAAGCTTTAGGTAATTTAGCGTGATTAGGAGATTTAAAAAAAACCCTTCTTATCCTTACTTGAATCTAAAACACCATTCCAATCACCCATCATAATAACAGATTTATAATCCAATTGAGTTAGCTTCTGATGTAACAACTTATAGAATTGTTTTTGTTGTTGATTGGGGGCGTATAATCCAATAATAAAAATTTCTTTCCTTGTAATACTAATTCAATAATAACATATCTTCCTTGTGTATCAGAATCAATTAATTTACCCGATAAGTCTTTTCTTACATAAATAACTACACCCCCTTTTTTTTCTGGAGCAGAAGCTGTAAAATGTGGTCACAACTGAGAATTAATCAAATACTTTTGATCCTTTAAAGCAATATGAGTCTCCTGCAAGCAAACAACGTCATTCTTATGATGTTTCAAATAATGAAATACTTTCTTTTCTGTGATGAATTCAAGCCATTAACATTCCATGTCAGAAACTTTGCCATCCTTAATGGCTTGAAGCCTCTGGAACAGAGCTTGAAGATCTGCTGTTGATGATCTCTTTGGTCTTGTTCCTCCCATGGGCTCTGTAATAGTCGAACCTTGTATTATGGATCCAACATCAGCCTTCTGCTGTTCCTTTTCTTTACGTCTATGCGCTGCACGAGTCATCCTCTGTTCCTTTGAATCACCTTTTACCTCCAAACACTGTTCCATAGGTCCAGACTGTAAATCTCCTGCAACCAATAACATTGCAGCTTCAGATTGTTCTTCCAATCTTTCTTCTGTTCTCTTAGATCGTGGAGATGGTGGCGAACCTGCTTTCCAACAGGTATCTCCCATCTGAACTGAATCTGTCGAGTTTTAAGCCCCTCAGCCAGAAAAGCAAAATCCTTTCTTTTTCTAAGGATTTTTGAGCTGCAATTTGAAATCTCTGCTTATAAAAAGCCTATATAATTTCATTACGAAGGGATCTCCTAGAAAAATAAATGACCACATCTCTAGGTAAATTTCTCTGCCTCGCAATCCATGAATTGACTCTAAATATGCTATCAATCTCTCTCAATATTTCCTCAGCTTCACATCCCAAAATAGGAGCAATTTCTCTTGCCACCTCCTCTCTCAAATCCTCTCGTGGATTCTCCTTCAATCCTCTTATTCGCAAAGCAAATTCCATGTGTCTATATTGTGACATGATAACTTCATCCTGTGTTGAATCAATCTTATCTTCAACTTTACCAAGCCTGTATTCTAATTTCGCAGTATTTTCCACAACTTCGTCCACCCTTCCATCTATACGTTCGATATGGGCGGCAAGCCCTTGAAATGCAAGAACAATGTCTTCCCTCATCTCCCTGTTCTTATTCTCAAAAAGCTCTGCCACTTCATTTTTAATATCTTGTGCTGTTTTTTTTCAAAGCGTCCTGTATATCTTTAAGTGTAAATGCTGGTGGTGGAGGAGATGGTGGGGGTGATATAGGCTTAGTAGTCTGAGTTACAGGAGAGGAGATTGAAGCTTTAGGAACCACAGGGATTCCAAGACGCTTTGAAGCCATTTTCTGTCTATTTAAAACCACTTCTTATAAAATCAGCAATTTCCAAAAAAAAAAAGGGGGACTAATTCCAAAAAGAAAAAGGGAAAAAAAAGAAAGATTCTTGCTTTTTAAGTAACCAAAATCTGATACATGTTTAAACTTTGTTGCCAAATATAAGTCTTTGTTAACTCTGTCTTTTCAATCAAAAAAAAAAAAACAACACCACTCCAGCGCCATTTTTCCACTCTTTGTTTTAGTGGAATCAAAAGGTGGAGAAGAATTTTTTAACTCTTTTTTGAGTTAAAGTCCCAAACATTAACAATTCTTATCTCTCCTGGTCAGCTCCATCTGCTTTTAATTAACTCACAAGTCTCTTTAAAATGCAGATGTGGAAGCGGCGTCTTGCTTTGTTCCTGAAAAACAGGACAAAGGCGTCCTGGAATGCGGAGAAACGCCTCAGGCTCGGGGGGGAGCTCTCATCCTATAACCTCCAAATAATTAAGGAGGTGCAGGGGAGCTCTACCCCTACCCGTGCAAAAAGCTCACCTCTTCTTCTCCCGAGGAAAGAGGTTTCAAGCCGCAGAACAGCTGATATTCGCCGTCCCCGCGGGCTTTCACGCGATCTCTCTCTGGCCTTTTTATAACCTTTGCAGCACATATAGTGATATAGCCATTTTTTTTCCAAAAGTTGACAGAATTCTCCTAGTGTACTTGAAAATGGAACTTTGCTGAATTAAATATCTCAGTGTCCCTCCCAAATAAAATGAAGTTAAAATAAGAATATACATAATAATACATTTTTTTTATTTTAATGTTTTTGTACACTTAAAATAGGTATCACTTTGTTTCCCCAAAAAGCAGATTATAACACACCATAATATTTACTCCCAATCTTATATTCTTCAGTGGAAAACTAATGTTACTAATATTTATTACTTTAATTCACTATAAAATAAAATATTACAAGATTCAACATTAACATAGTGCAAAACTGTCAGTTTTTCTAAATCAAAGACTGACATTCCAATTTTGTTACTATTATTTTCCAGTGTATTCCCAGTGTGTTTTGCAATTAAATTTAAATGTAATAAATATGCCAGTTATAACAAGTAGTAATTTTACCTATTTCTATCATTGCTTACGTACTTAGTCTTTGCTGCTGATCATAAGCAAGTCCTGTGATTTAGTCTCATAAAAGGAAAGGTATTTCCCCCCCCCAAGTCATATAGAAATATTGCACAGAACTAAAAATGTGGGTAGGGAAAACACTGTGTACTTGTACTTTCATACGAAAAGTTTCATCATTTAGTGCAGTGTTCTTAAACTGGGGTAATTACTCCCGGGAGGGTAATTTGGACATATTTGGGGGTAATGGAGCACTATGTAATAGCTTGTTTGTGAGTCGATGATCCTGTTTGGGATTGCTGCTGCTGAGACGCTTTGTAAAACAACAGTCTGCTTTTTTTGTGGTAGTAATAACATCACTTGAGACTGAGAAATGGGATAATTGGATCAAAACACTTTAAGAGACACTGAAGTAGTGGATATTTAATTTTGACATGCACAGAAAGGAAATTATGTATAAATTGGCCAGCAGGTCAGAGTATGAAAGAAGGTCTAAAAGGAACAGAGGAAATAAAGGTGTGGTTAAACAGCATACCTGTCAGATATAAGAGGAAGAGACAAGTTTATATTCTCATGGGTAGGGCAGACTATTGAAAATGTTCTACAAGTACTAAGTCTACAATGAAATTTAGTGGAAGTAGAGGTGATTTAACTCAAATGCATATTGACATACAACCATTTCAACATGTGCAACTTTATTTAATTATTCTTTTCAAGAGAAGCTTTATTTAAAACATTGATATCTGTAGTTCAACCAGTATTAACTTCTTATTAATTGTTTAACACCTGTTTCAATAAACCAGGAAAATATACTATAATCTCAGAGTTAATGAAAAATGCAATAAAATTCCTCTGTTCAAATTCATTGACTGGGATGATAAGAATTTAATCTTTTTTTTTTAAAGGATGCACTTTGTATCTTTGCCCCTTTAGTTTTTTAATATATAAACGAAAATGTATACAAAAGAATTTTTCTTGAATTTTTCTTGAAATTCTGTTATGAAAAATATACGAGCAAAAGAGTTGAAAGATAATGAGCATGTTTAAATTTGTGTATTCTGTTTAGGTATATGGTTGGTTTGATTTGCTAAATGAAAGAGATCTCTTCCTAAATTTCTGTATTATTTAGGGCTAATGGAAATTATTACTGGCAGAATGTTAAGTTTGGGTTGAAACTTTAGTTTTATCTGTCATCTATTTTTTGTTTTGTTTTTCTTTCTACAGAAACATGATCAGGGGCAAGTTCTGTTGGATATAGTTTTCAAACATCTTGATCTGACTGAGAGAGACTATTTTGGTTTACAAGTGGCTGATGATTCTACTGATAACCCGGTAATCCATACTATATCTTTCCATTTTCTCTTCTCTTGGCATTTGAGATTTTATTTTATTGATCATAACATATATAATTATTCTGAGGTTGCTTATAGTCAGTGCTTTTTTGTAAAAAAAAAAAAAAAAAGGTGCCGGAATTCACACGTCATACAACCCAACCCGCCTTGTCTACCCTACAAGGTTCCATCCCAAAAAGGTGCCGGAACTCCGTTCTGGGCGTTCTATGACAAAAAAAAAAGCCCTGCTTATAGTGTAGAAAAATTATTATGAGCAATGTGTTGTTCATGTTACACTTATTTTCCACCTTAAAATAAAATATATCTAGACATTTGTTTTCTGGTACAAAATAAATATCTTCAGTTTATTCTCACTGTAAATTCCTAAATTCTCTGGCCCTTTTAAATTGCAACAGATGCCCCTGAGAGGCAAATGAAAATCAAGAAGATTCTTATCTTGTCCAATTCTTGACATAGTCTATACCGTTATCAGAAATATTTCAGATCTTAAGGCAGATGTGAATTGATATTAAAAGAATCTCAATTAGCTCTATCAAAGAATACCTAGTGTTTTGCTGCTACTGTTTATTCTAGGCATCTTAAAAAATATTGGAGACTGGTCACTAATTATCAAAATTTGTAGAATCCAAACATTGATATTTCAACAGCTTCTTTTAGAGACTATGGAAAACATGTCTCCTGATATTTTTTTCACATGTTTAATCTATCTAACCAGTTTGGCTCTGATAGTTTGTTAATACTCCAGGATAGAGAAGGGTTTATTATATATAAAATCCCTTTGTGGGTACATATGGGAGACTGCAACAGAAAAACAATATGCAATCCTCAGTTCATTCAGACTTTTTCCCTGCGCTAAAATCATGTATCATTGGTTTTAATTTTGTCCTAGAATAGACTAAGAAATATGGCAATGAATAGATATCTATTAATAATGGTCTAATCAGAACCTATAACTAAATTCTGGAATAAATGCATAATGATAGACTAATACCATGCTATCAATAGTAGATGAATATTTGCGATAATAGAAATTAGTCCAAAATGCAAATAACCATGAAAGCAGTTTCTAAATCATGATAAAGTCATAGCCAAAGTGCTCAAATAAACTGAAAGAAGAGTATAATCTTAATAAGCAAAAAATGAATAGAAAATCAAGGTAATTATGTTTATAATTTTAAGTAGTTTCACAAATCACTGTTTGTAACTTATATTGTACCAGGTATCCTCAAACTCAGTCCTTAATGTCTCATTCATTGTTTTCATGGCACCCACAGCAGTTCTCAAACTAAGTGTCCTAGTGCCCTGAGAACAGTTAGGACACCACCATTTATTCTGAAATCAGAACTATAGTGTGCTCTTAATTACTATAGTTCATCAGGAATATCTATTTATTCTTTTTGAGTTTATTAAAATAAACATCTCATTAATTAACTTAGTTGGCTAGTTTTGTAGCCTAAGATAATTCTTATAGATGGTTCATATATTGCTGTTATATGGAGATCATAATGGGCACTTCCAGAGGTGTGCTCTTACTCCAGCTGTTTAAAATAATGGAACACTTAGGTAAGAATGTTGTAATCTTATGAGAGAGATTATATGAATAATACGTCGTAGACTATGAAAGAGCTTTGGCAAATGCATTAGCTGGGATATGTAAGAAAAGTAGCAAGGTTAATTATAATTTGTTACTCTCAAAGTGGACCCTTCCTTTCCCTTTCCATATATATATAATTAAATTTTGCTCTTGTCTCAGTCTTGCCAGTTTTCTTGCTTGATTTAATTTACCATTAGGAAGGAAACACAGAGTAATTTGTAACAAAAAAATCCCACCCCAAAAAGTATTTGCATAACAACATCAAAATCTAGTGTAGAGTTTGTTAAATAGTGTGACTAGACTTAGTACAATATATTCAATTTAGCTAATTATCTATTATATCTGAATGGAATTTTATAATCTGTTTTATGCAAAATGAGAGTTTACGAGTGCACAAAAAGTATCTAGAAAGATTATGTGTTTCCTCCAAAGTTTATTAAACTTAAATTCGTTAAATCAAGGGTTTGCTGCATTACCAAACAGTTTTAACAAAGCTAACCAGCTTGATTTTAAAACAAAAAATTCTCCACTAATTATTCTTGGTATTCTTAATATTCATCTTATATATTGATATGCACTACTGTATTTTCATTACAATTTCTTTTAACCTAAATAACTTTTCTCCTTTAACTTTCTCCATCATGTTCGCTCATTTTTATTAATGTAATATTTGTAATTTTTCAAATTCCCCCAAGAATCCTATGGTTAAATAGTATCTTTTTGCTCTCTCTCTCTCTCTCCCCCCCCCCATCTCCCTTTCCCCCCCCTCTCTGTACCATAAAGTTACTTACCAAAAGATGGCAATTTAGTTTGTTGATTTTTATAAAAATCAAATCATAGTGATTGTACATTTCATGAATGTCAGCTCCATCTATGATGATTGAGTCTGCAGAGAATGAGTTCTAGAAATTATTTGACTAGAAAAGCACTCAAAATATTGCACACACAAATTAGTAACACCCACTGGCTCATAGTACTGAGAGAAGCAAAATTAGGCAAGAGTAATTTCCTAAAGAAAATAGAACTATTTTAAACAGGATACATGTGGCCTTTTGTTCTTTCTAATCACCAAGGTACACATCTAAATTCAATTTATCCCAAATTGGTTTCTTGTCAAATTGGGGGATGGGGAGTAGAGAAGAAAGCCAATATGACGTGTTCATTACAGGTGTTTCCAGATGACTACATTAAATAAAAATATTTAATATTTTCAATATTAAAATATACTTTCTTAATCCAGAAGTTAAAACTGGTAGGGACAATAATTTCCTTTGGGATTAAATGGGAAAATCATTTCTTTCGGGGTTAAATGGGATTCTTTATTAAATTGATATATTTAGAAAGAAACTGAAATAATCTTGTTTTATGGATTTTTCCATATGCTTGCCTGACATTGATTCAAGCTGTTGTTTTACAGACTAATTTTAGATTTAAAACATTTTGATGTATAGATTAGGGGACATTTAAATTTTTAGCATACCATCCCCCAAAGCTATAGCATAATAACTTTGAGATATTGTTATGTTATGTTTATCCTGCATTGCTAGCCAAATGGGCTGCATATAATATAATCTGTGAGTGTTGATTCAGGGTTTCCAGAGCAGGTCGAAGTGTTTACCTGTATCTGGCTGTCCAGATGAATATGCCATGTATTTTATGAACTCTGTGCTCATTTCAGTATCACTGCAAAAACAAAAACAAAGTCTTTAACATTTCCTTGTTTTGAAACGTATTTTGTTTTGGAAAAAATATAATAAGCCAATATTTTCTCTCCCTCAGAGGTGGCTGGATCCAAACAAGCCAATTAGGAAACAGTTGAAAAGTGAGCAAAATATTTTATCTACTTTGAATAAAAATTATAATTAAATTTAGGTAAAACCTGAAGTAAGCTAAAATATCAAATTCTAATCCAATGTGTTGGTTCGTTTTAGGAGGATCACCCCACAATTTGAACTTCAGAGTCAAATTTTTTGTAAGCGATCCTAGTAAACTTCAAGAAGAATACACACGGTATCTGTCTTTTTAATTTTAATAAGTTACTCTTTTGTTTTATTATGTAAAATATAATGCTGTTGGTGTTAAATTTACATACATTTGATTTTATAGAAGGCATTATGTAAGATAGTAGAGCTTCAGCCATGGGGCAAGTAAGGCTGCATCCATGGTTGTTCTAACATGGTTCAATGTGAAATCCATAATTCTCTTCCCCATGCTATTTAGTATCTACATGAAACTCTTGGGTAGGTTGTGTGTCAGTTAAGAGGGAGTTATTATCAGTGTAATGATGAAAATGAATTTTATATATTCATCTCGAGTTAAATCTGGGTGTTATCAAAGTTCTCACTCAGCATCTGGAGATTGTTGGAGCCTAGATGAGTAAAAGGTAAAATCAAATCTCTGGAAGAAAGTTGTTCATTCTAAATAGAGTTCCATTGACCCTAAAGGAGCTAGTGTGTGATTTGGAGTTTCTCTGAATTCAGCCTTCTGCTGCAAGAGCAGGTTAAACTATGGACACGGGGGCCTTTCCAAGTTTTCACTTTGGGGATATGGAGGCATTTTCAACAGTCAGTCAAGCATTCTTCACTCTCAGTTGAACTAAAGCAATACATTCCACGTAGGCCCTACCTTACATGATTGTTCAGAAGCTACAGGTGGTCCAAAATATAATAGCCTATCTGTTGAACAGAAATAGCACGTTTATCAATGTACTACTAAGGCTACAACTGCTGCTTTGGATAAAGTGCTAGTTTTTACATTTAAAACCTTCATGCCTTGGTTCCTGAGTATTTACAGATCCTCTTTTCTTGACAAAAATCAGGCTGTCCCATTCGTGCTGAGTGGGGAGTATATTGAAGGAAAGTGTGCTAAGTGTTCCCATTGACATAAAGAGAGGGCAGTGGGAGCCCAACCACATGCTGAATCTCCTTGAGTACTAGGAGGTAGAAAAGTACATAATTCCTTGAGTAAATATATAAGTATATAGCAAATATTCTGAACAGTTTATTCATAAACACGTATTCAAATTATTCATAAACACGTATTCAAATTATATGAAGTCTTCAGTGTATTGATGCAAACTATTACATGAATAATATCATGCTTTCTAAATATATACACATTTGGTAACTTTTTAAAAAATTCAGCTGCATGTTTAATGTAGAATAAGATATCTATATGAACATTTTTTTAAGAAACGTTTTTTTGAAGGCATTTATTACTGAAGTTCGTTTTTGCTAAAGTACCTTTAATCTTAGTTGAGTTCCAGCACAGAAATTATTTACAATGTATATTTTAAGAAAAAAATCAGACATCTGAATTTAATTTCATTGTGTATTTGCATACCTGCTGTGCTACATTCATTTAATCTGCTCCTATTGTCCCTTAATACCTGAAAGCCTTCCAGGACAGCACCATTTTTCTGACAAACAAGTAGTATATAATAACAGATATGTATAGAATGTATACTCTTTCAAATGTAATGTCCTTTTAATAGTAATTTTATTAAGGATTATAAATATAACAGTAAATAATGCAAACTCAGTAAATAAAAGAATAAAAAGAAAAACTGGAAAGTGCAGGAAAGAAAGAGGAAAAAAGAAAAAAGGGGAAAATAGAAATTAAAAAGAAAGAATATAATAAAGGAAATCTATAAAGATGTGACTTCACACCTTCATTACAACAAGTATGAAGAATTTTAGTAACTTATCACTTTCTGTTAAAATACAGCAAATGATCTCTTTTTCCTATATCCCATCTCTTGTCTGTAAACAAATACATAAAGCTCGACATTTCAGTACTGATGTCAGCAAAAGTCCACTAAGACCTATCAGAGAAAACATATCTAATTTATTTTTGATCAAATAAGTCAAGTTGATATTCCTTCCTTTTACTTCTAAAAATCTTGATCTTCAGTTCCTATAAATAAGGAAACTAGAACCTTATTTGTTTTCAATTTTTCTTTGTCTTTTTCACAAAATTCTTCCAAAACTTTAACAAGCTTTTTTTGTAAATCCATTATTAGAAAGTTATCCAGGTCAAGACATCACCCAGTTTCTTTTGTTTAACCAATATAACATTTTTTATCATGTCATTCTTAATGCCTGTCTTTTTTTAAATCCACTTTCAAGTCAGTCTCAATCTTGTCAGGTAGAACTTGTTCATCTTCCATAATATCTTTTAGACGTAGTCTGTCTTTAGAGGCAGACACTATTAAAATTAATTTGTGGATCTATTACTCAAAAATATACTTCAATATGTCCAATGTTAATTTTTTTATTCATTCTATAGTTGTAAATTGAACCATGAGTGCATTTCTTTAATTAAAATCTTAACTTCCCTCGAGTCTCTTTACTGTCCAATTTTTAAATTCTTTATCTTACTATGTTTTTCAAAAAACATTTTTTTCAATGGAAAAGAATCTTTATATTCTCCAGTACAGGAGATGGATAATCCACGGATGGGTTTTCTCTGTCTGCCTGCTCTTGAGACCAAGTAGCCAAAGCTTGACACGCCCCCACTTCCTGTGGAGTCCATTCTTAACTTGGTCTCTGCTCGAAGAAGACTCGTTTTGGCGTGGCTCTCAGCTTATCAGGTTAGACAAGAAATCCATTGATTGATTATCCCTTGATAATTGGCTTCCCCTTCCCAAAAAAAAAAAAAAATTGCCACCTATAGGAATTTAACCACAAAATTTTCTGGGGATCAGTCCTGATCTCAAACCTAAAATTAAAAAGGGGATTGGTGGGGAGGGAAATTTCCCCACAGATATCAGCCAGCCCCAGGGCTCTGGGGGGTGAAAAGGGGGGGAAGAAGGCATCAGCAGAGACTACTTGCTGAACCTTTTCCCCAACCACTAAGTTTTCCTTGGGAATTCCAAATTTATCTCAGATTTATCTGTACCCTTAATCCATTCATAACTTTCTAATATCAATGAAAGAGAATATTTGTAGCTCAGGATTGAAATGAGGGGTCCTTGGTGCTCTCTGAGCTTGGTTATTTTCAGGCAGAAGTTTCATTACCCAAACTAGATAACATCATCAGTGCTAATAAGGAGTGGGGTTTCTTCTCAAACACTGATGATGTTACCTAGTTTGGGTTGTGAAATGTCTGCCTGAAAATAACCAAGCTCAGAGAGCATCAAGGACCCCTCACTTTCTAATATCAAAATTTTAATCACCCTTTTGCTATTTATTCCCAAAAAAAGTTTTTTTTTCAATTTCTTAAACTCCTAATGCTTTAAACCCACCGGAGACCACTATCTTGTGGTCTTCTCCTGAGGAGCAGCTGTCCACAGCACTTCTGAGGAATCCGAACTGTTCTCTTTATCTGGAGAAGAATTATTGAAGAACCAGCCTATCTACCAGCCTTTAATTCCACTGAGGTCATTGGCTCCATTTTTTGCAGAGTGATCAGCAAAGAAGTCCTTTTTTTAGATTAAGTTGCCATTCAGTTTTAGTTCAGAGTACAGGTAGCCCTCAACTTACAACAGTTCACTTAGTGACTGTTTGAAGTTACAATGGCACTGAAAAAGTGACTTATCACCATTTTTCGCACTTATGACCATTACAGCATCCCCACGGTCACGTGATTTATATTCGGATGCTTGACAACTGATTCATATTTATTATGGTTGCAGTGCCCAGGGAACATCTGATCACCTTTTGCAACCTTCTGCCAAGCAAAGTCAATGGGGAAACTAGATTCACTTAACAACCATGTTACTAATTTAATAACTGCAGTGATTTACTTAACAAATGTGGCAAGAAATGTCATATAATGAGATAAAACTCATTTAACAAATGTCTCAGCAATATAAATTTTGGGTTCAATTTTTGTTGTAAGTTGAGGACTACCTGTATATAATTTTTAAAATGCATTTAATAGATTGGAATGGATCTCTAAGATTACCCCGTATGATAGATCTTTCCCTAGAACAGAGGTAGGCAACCTTGGCTCTTTTATGGCTCGTGGACTTCAACTCCCAGAATTCCTGAGCCATCCATGCTGAGGGGAAGGGAGAGGTTTCCAAGCTGAGCCATGCTGGCTCAGAAATTCTGGGAGTTGAAGTCCACGAGTCATAAAAGAGCCAAGGTTGCCTACCCCTGCCCTAGGAGAATGGAAAGACTTGTCCTTCGGTGATAGTCTCCGTGTACCAAGATAACATAAGCAATATTTTAAATTCAAAAGAATAAATCCTAAGAGCCAAGCAAAATAATTTTTAAAGTTGGAATCTTTACCCTAAAGAAGCTTATATAAAAAGGAAACACCTGCCTAGAATATGGAACTAAAATGCAAAATCCCATTACATAAATATGTCAAAACAAAATCCTGAGCATTTCAACATTTTTACAAATCCTCACACTCAGTTCATGAATGGAAGCAAGACATTATCTGAGATGCAGAGAATATTAAAACATCAGATTTAATGCATTTGTTGTTGTTAGTTGCAAAGTCGTGTCTGACTCATCGTGACCCCATGGACAACGTTCCTCCAGGCCTTTCTATCCTCTACCATCTTCTGGAGTCCATATGCACTCCAATAGCAGTGTATCTGAAACCTCATTTGATTATTTTTAAATGTGTATTAATTAAATAAATGGTTGTAAATATTGATGACAGACCAGTATCATATTTCTCTGACATTGATTATCCAGTCTCAGATATGGAAGAAATAGGACATGGAGCTAACAAGATTGCCTAACAATTACATTAGATTTCAGATCTTCACCTCAATCTTTCGCATTAGTTGATTTATTTATTTTAGTGTAATAATAAAAAGAATTTGGCTTTAATTTTTTGTGTTTTACTAGCCAAAATAAGGGCATTTCATAAAATGCAGGTGCCAAAGTCAAAAGACATCTTAATTTTGTTAGATAAGAATATAATAGTAAGCTTGTCAACTAGTTGTTCTTGTTTACTTTTCTTTAAGGTACCAGTATTTTTTGCAAATTAAACAAGATATTCTTACTGGAAGGTAAGATTTGTTTGTTTTACAAACTTGAGTGTCTTGTGATTCAGGGCAGGGATGGGCAGCATTCATTAAACAGCATGACATAATGCTACAATCAAGTGATTGCATGCATTCTGTGAAAAGTTTAAAATGTGTGTACTAGAACATTGTAAATGCATATGTAATGATAGAACATCACATTTTATAATGAATTCAGAATTATACTAAATAGAGTTTTAACGCTAACATTTTCTTATCTGTCTGTTAAAATTCCTGCACTTCCAATTCCCAACAGATGTAGAATTTCTATTCCTTCCAGGTAGATAATATGTTCTCTTAAAATATATGGTGACGATGTTTGCTTTGAATGACATGTTAGGATTCTGAGAAACTGCTCATTTACATGTGCCTCTCTCCGAGTTGCCACCTACAAAACACAAACTCTGATTTACATGTTAATAGATTTGGAGATCTTGTCACTATCAAGCTAGGATATAAAAACTATGGTTCTTAATTAATAATTCCTGGCTTGTCTAGATGTCAAGATATCTGGTTTTGATATTGATAAATAAATTCCCTTTGTTTATGGTTGTAATATGAGAAAAACAGAACCACTGATAGGCTGCATCAGTATTCATCTTGAACATAGCTATGAAACAAACATTATCCAAAATTCTGGCTTAGTATTTTGATGTGTCTATACAGATAGTCCTCAGTTAATGACTGCCCTGTTTAGTGACCATTTAAAGTTACAATGGTGCTGAAAAAGTAAGTTTATGACTAGTTCTCAAAGTTACGTCACACTGCAGCGTCCCTATGTAAACGGGCATTTTGCAACCAATGCACATTTACAACCATCACAATTTCCCACAGTTATATGATTGCCATTTGTGAGCTTCACAGCTGGCTTCTGACAAGCAAAGTCAATGGAGAAACCAGCAGTAAAATCACATGATAATTTTAATGACTTAATGACCCCAGGTGATTTGCTTAACAACTACAGTGGAACTGATTTTGTACAGTAAATTCTGTGTGATCATGTGATATTTCACGGAATGGTTGCACAGCTTAATGATAGAGTTGCTGGTCCCAATTGTGTTATTAAGTGAGGAATATCTGTACATATCAGTTTATTCATATCCAAAAATAATAAAATGTATACTTTTAATCATTTAAATATCAATTGATAGACTTATTTTTATTTTTAAAAATAGGAAAGTATATCAGCTCATGAAAAATGTACAAAGTTTTCATAAGGAAACATAGCCACACAGTTCAATAGGGTCACCTAATTTAAATACATTGGTAAAACAGTTTGGATTTAAATATTGTAGTTCATAGTTGATATTTTTTAGGTTTTGTTTTTTACCTTTTACAGATTGCCCTGTCCTTATAATACTGCTGTACTTTTGGCTTCCTATGCTGTTCAGTGTAAGTACATATGTAAGTGTTTAAAATTGAGAACATAATGGTCATGCTCCATCTTGTTATGTTGTGTTACTTCGTGCTATGTTGTGCCCCTTTCCTGCAAATTCATGATATTTACAGATCTATATAATAGAAAACTGATAGCTCTTTTCCAGTATTGCTCCCTAGCAGGTGATATTTTAGATATGTTGCCTGTACTCTTAAGTGCTAATCAGTACCAGACTAGTAACCATAGAGAGTCCGTCTTTTATCTACTCTGCTTTTAAAGCTAGCTAAATGGGTGGGCCATCACTATATTTTAATAGTTTAAATAGTTCTATAGTTTAAATATGCTTTAAGATTTTTTTAATGTTATATTTAGGTTCCTGGTTATGCTAGTTTTTAATGTTGATCTGGTGCAGATTTTATATTTTTAAAATATACTTCATTTTATTAAGTGTATTTCTTTAAATGGCTTGTATTACAATCTTACAACTATTACAAATTTCTGTTTGGTTTATTCCCCAAAAGGTAAGAATGTGGTTGCTGTCATAATATTATCAGTAACATTGATTCATTCATTACATGCTATCAAGTTAGTGTCAATTCTTAGTGGCCACATAGATGGATTTTATCCATAAGGATTTTGCACAACCTGGTCCTTCAGGTTTTTCAAAGGGACACCCATTACTACTATAACTGAATGGATATACCTTGCTGCTGGGTCTTCTTTTCTTCCCTTTCCTTCTGCCTTTTCCAACATTATAGACTTCTACAGAGGGCTAGATCTTCTCATAATGTGTCTAGTTATTTGTGCCTTGAATGAATTCTGGTTGATTTCTTTGATGATCCATTTGTTCGTTTTCTTGGCTGTCCACAGTATTCTCAAGAGTCTTCTTCAATATCAAAGTTCAAAAGTATCAGTTCCTTTTCTAGCCTGCTTCTTCAAATTTAAATGTTCACTTACATAGTGTCATACAGAAAATTACAGTTTGCATTCATTTTTATTTACATTTAATCTTAGTCTTTTTTTTACTGTGTAGTATCATTAACATAACACAGGTTATTTATGTTTCATCCAGGGGATGGTATGGAATTCTCAATTTTCTAAATACTTTCTACAGCATGAAATGACAAACACAATTAAAGGACTTTTTATAATCAGTTAAGTACACACTGACTTATTTTGGTATTCCTTGGCTTTCTCATTTGTCCTGTGTGCATCAGCAATAATTTCTCATGTTCCTCAGCCTTTTGTAAATCCAACTTGAACATCTGGCATATTTCTTTTCCTGGAATATACCAGTACTCTAATCTGCATTGGATGATTCTAAGCATTATTTTGCTAGCATGTGAAATTAAGGATATTGTACTGTGGTTTTCAGATTCTGTTAAATCCTTTTCTTTGCTATTGGTATGTAGATTGAACCTTCCAGGTTGTTAGATACTGTTTTTTTCTCTCCAGATTTGCTACCACAGCTTAGTTAGAACCATTATTTAGTTTTCTTCTGTTGTTTCATGTATTTCTGTAGATATGCCATAAATGTAACCTTCTGATTCGCTCTGGCCAGAGTGCTGATCTAACTTCATCTTCTAGTACTAGATGTTCTTGTAAGTAGGAGTATCTTCTATGGCAATTTCGATATTGAAATCTCTATTGTATATAGTTTCAGTGTATTCTTTCCATCTTTTTTTAATCTTCTCTGGATCAGTTACTATCTGTTCCTCGGGTGAAGTGAGCTGCAGCTCACGAAAGGTTGTAACTTGTAATAAATTTTTTAGTTAGAAAAGGCCCTACCAGTCTCTTTCTGATTCTTTGATGATTCTTTGCCATCATTGACTAACATAGCTCTTGTAAAAAAACTGTGTGTTGGTATCCTTTAGTGTACCGTTTTGAATTTGGAACTTATTTCTCATTTTGGAGATTTTTTGGAAGACTTACCCCATTTTTCTGTGTACGTTTCCATTTTCATTTACAGTTTTGTCTCTTCTAGTAGCTATTTGAAATTCTTCATTGTTTGTTCCTGTGATTTTTTGGGGGAGGGGGGTTGAGTGGGTGTTGCATTTATCTCTTCTTTTTTTGCAATTTTCATTCTTTGGTCTGACATACAATTTGCTTTCTTCTGTTTCCTGATCTTTGGCAATCTGTTTACACAGTCATTCTTAACAAATTCTTTACGTTTGTTGCTTAGTTCCTCTGATCTTTTATCAATAAGGTCCAAAGCTTCTAAATGATTCCTAATGTTCTCGTTAAAAATGGGGGGTATGTGCTCAAGATCATATGATAGAAAGTGCTTGGCTTTCTTCTTCCACTTTACCTTAATTAGGTAATTGCATATGAGCAATATCTAATCTGTTCTACAGTTGGTCCTGCCCATGTCTTTGTTGTTAATAATTGAGTTCTTCTACTTCCTTCTGCCAATAATATAGTCAATCTGATTTCTGTGTGCTTCATCTGGGAAATACTGTGTATGTAAAATGGTGCTTTAAAGTTTGTGAACCCTTTTGAATTTTTAATATTTCTGCATAAAAGTGGCCTAAAACACGATCTGTTTGCACAAGTCTTAAAATTAGATAAAGAGAATCCAATTAAATAAATGAACTATAAATATTATACTTGTTCATTTATTCATTAAGGAAAATGATCCAAAGCTACTATTAGTATGTGGCAAAAATAGAACTTTTAGAATTATCAGTTAATTTGAAGGGGAAATTAGAGTCAGCTATATCAATCATTGGAATGATTATCAGATATGTATGTGGAAGGTCCTGCATTATTTAAAGAACACAATTCTGGGTATTCACTATACAATCTGTGAAAGTGTATCATGGCTCGAACAAAGAGATTTCTGAGGACTTCTGAAAAACAGTTGTTGATGTTCAGCTGGCTGGAAAAGGTTATAAAACTACTTCCCAAGTGTTGGACTCCACCAATCCACTGTCAGGCAGATTGTGTACAAATAGAAGCAATTTAGCACCTTTGTTACCTTTGCAATAATTGCAAATATCTGTAGCTCGGATGTAGGATGAGGGTGAAGGTTTGTTCTCCAAGTTTGCTGGTTGGTTTCCGAACATTTCGTTAACAGGCTGTAATCTCTACCCACACCTACACCAAACAACAACAGTTCAATTGGAGCAACACAAAAATCATCAGCCACCCTACCACACGCCACGCTCGTGCATCCATTGAAGCCTGGCACTCCACAAGCAATTCCATGAACAGACACATCAACCTACAACCAGCCTATGAACCCCTCAGAATCCAAATCAACTGCAAAGCCAACAAGAGATAGCACCGACCCTCAACCAACCCACGTAAGTTGCCTCTCCCCCCCCCAGCAGTTCACCTCCCCGTGAGCCTGACCTGATGTAACCTCCCCATCGCAAGATTCTCACTGATGACTCACACCTGACCCATCACAAGACCCTTACTTGACACACCCACCACCTAAAGCCCTTACAAACAGAAGAACACTGACACTGACATCCCCTAAACTCCACAGATGTTACCTAGCCTAGTTCAGAAACCAACCCACAAGCTTGGAGAATGAACCTTCACCCTCACTTTGTTACTTTCCCCAGGAGTGGTCAACCAGTCAAGATCATACCAAAAGCAAGGCATGTAATACTCTAGGAAGTTTCAAAAACTCCTAGGGCAATTTCTTAAGAAACTAAAGATCTGTCTTGCATTGACAAATGACACTGTTCATGAGACCACCATCAAAAGAACATTGAACAACAATGGTGTAGAGGGCAGTATTGTAAGGAGAAAGCCACTACTCTCTAAGAAGAACATTTCTGCTTGCCTACAGTTTGTGAAAGATCATAAAGCTATTGGAAAAATGTTTGATGCATGGATGAGACCAAGCTAGAACACTTTTGCTTGAATGAAAAGTGTTTGGCAAAAGGCAAATACTAGATTTCAGCATTTCTGTGAAATGTGGCTTGGGCCTGCTTGCTTTTTTCGGACCAGGACAGCTTGCCATCATTGATGGATCTATGAACTGAAGCTCAAGAAAAAGTGGGTCATGCAACAATATAATGACCTAAAATACAAAATAGTACAGCCAAAGAATGATTAATGCTGAAGTTAAAGTTACTGTTTTAGAATGGCCAAGTCAAGGTCCTGATTTTAATCCTGTAGAAATGATGTGGAAGGAGGCTAATTCTTGTGTAGAAGCTCTCCAGCATCCCTTAGTTGAAGCTGTTCTATAGGGAGAAGTGGACTAAAATTCCTCCAAGCCAATGTGCAGGACTGATCAACATTTGTTGCAGTTATTGCTGCCCATGATACTCCACTTACTGAAAGCAAAAGTTCATATACTTTTTGTCACACACGAATCCATTGACAGTTGCTGATATAGGACACAAGTTTATTTCTGTCATAGTGTTTTCTGATAGTATGTTCTGTTTAATTTTTAAAAAAGGTTTAAAGATGACCAGTGCATACTTCAACTTTAGATAGTGGCACAGAATTATGATTATTTTGAGATTTGTGGTATGAGTCTAATATTACCTAACTGTGTCTAAACTCACTTACTTAGACTTATATAAAAACTTTCAACATAGAAGATAGAAGAAAACGCAGCTTAAAAATCTGGAATATTAGAATGTTATTGGACCAATATATTTGTTGTAAGAACAGAGTCTTCTGAAAAAAGGTTTGCACTAGTTCAGTGATGGTGAACCTGATATGTATGTCAAAGGTGATACAACATGACATTTTAGGTGACATGTCAGCTTTCAACGCCTGACAACAATTAATCTCGAAAGCATAGCCCATACTTGTGTGGTTTTTGATGGCCGCAGAAAATAGCATGTGCTCTCACATAGCTTCTGGAAGTTGCACAAGGACAGGGTGTGCTTTCACACAGTTTTGAAGGCTGCAGAGGCTGTGGAAGAGCTTTCTCTGAAGCTGCTTGAAGAGCAAAGGCCTTGTGTAATCCAGAGCAGCCCTGGGTAGGCCACAGGGTCCTGCAAATAGAAAGAGAACATTGCTTGCAGGTAAGAGGCACGTGACAGATCCTGGGTAGCATTGAGTGCAGGGACAAATATTTCATTCCTCAAGGCTTGTGCGCCTTGGGGGAATGGTACGAAGCAGCCTTTTTGAGTGGCAGCAATGACTTTAGGGCTGAAATCAAAGCCTGGCCTCTACCTAAGGCGCAGCTCAGCTCTAGCACATCTAGAACATTGTTCAGGGTGGCCTAGATGGAGGGTGGAAGATAGAGAATTGTTTCTCATTTGTTTGGGGTGGGAGTGTTAACCTGCCAGTATAGTCAAGTTGAGCATTTTTTGAATTTTTGACATGCCAAGCCCAAAAGGTTTACCATCATTTACACTAGTACAGGGGTAGGCAACCTTGGCTCTTTTATGACTCGTGGAGCTGGCTCAGGAATTCTGGGAGTTGAAGTCCACAAGTCATAAAAGAGCCAAGGTTGCCTACCCCTGCACTAGTACAACAGAAAGGCACTTAGACATACATTATTTAGTTATTTATAAAACAGTTCAGGAACTTTGTATGCAATTGAACATTTGTTTGAAATTTTATTTGTAGTAACTGCCACTCCCAGGGAGGCAAGTAGATTTGTAAGTTGAACTGTAGCTTATCTCTTTGAAATTGGGTGTTGTGCAAAGAAAAGGTTCCAGGGGCACCTACAATGCAGTGTTGTCTATATTACTAGGGTTGACTATGCATATAAATATATCTTTTCCAAAAATACTTAATAATGTTCAGTGTTGCCTATAGAAATACAGGTAGTTCTCAGTTTATGACCACAATTCAGCCCAAAACATCTGTAGGTAAACAAGACAGTTGTTAAGTGGATTTTACCCCATTTTACGGCCTTCCTGGCCACCGTTGTTAAGTGAATCACTGCAGTTGTTAAGTTAGTAACACGGTTGTTAAGTGAATTTGGCTTCCCCATTGAGTTTACTTTTCAGAAGGTTGCAAAAGATCATCACAAGAACCCGAGAGACTACAACGTCATAAATATGAATCAGTTGCCAAGCGTGTGAATTTTGATCACATGACCATAGGGATGCTGCAAGCAGTCATAAGTGTAAAGACTGATCATAAGTCCCTTTTTTCAGTGCTGTTCTAACTTCGAACAGTCACTAAATGAACTGTTGTAAATCGAGGACTACCTGTACTATCATCAAATATTTAACATTAGAGGAATGGTACTTGAATATCAGATAATTCAATTGAATTATATCTGTGATTCAATGAAAAAAAAATTGAGGGCTAGTCATATGGAATTCATAGGACTTGTTTTCAAGCAAACTTGCACCACATGTTTGAAATCTTTCTGGCACTAATATTCAAAAATTGATTCATGTATATTCGTCTTTACAGGATTACATTCAAGTTGATTCATTTGTGCAAAGATGTGAAGAGATAACTTCACATCTATTTTTATTTGCATATCTCTTGTTTGTTCTGCAAGTTGTGAAACAGGGCTGCTGTTATATAAATAGCTTATTTTAACTTTCAGCTGAACTGGGAGACTACAACCTTACGGATAACTTCCCGGGCTACCTCTCAGATTACTCTTTCATCCCTGGCCAGCCTCAAGACTTTGAAAAAGAAATATCCAAACTACATCAGCAACATATGTAAGCATGACAAAAAATATAAAATTATAATCAAAAAATGACATGGCAGAACTATTATGGCAGAACTATTATGTCTGAATTATAAACTATCTTTTTCCATGGTGTGTTATTCACTTTTTATGAAGAAATAAAACATTTAAAGCAAACATAATTGCAGTCCCATAAACGTGAGACATTGTGAAAAAGCACACCCTTGTCCTTTTTTGACACTATATTTATGTTGAGTTCCTACTAATAGGGTCCATTAAATAAGGTATGCAAAACTACACTTTTGCAATCAACGATTTTTGTATAATACTGTAAGTACATTCTTCTGGCATCTACAGAGCTTCAGTATAAAACTATTTAATCGAAAAATAATTTATTAAATAAAAACAATATGTAATATATTATTAACATTGTTCCCCCTTTTTGAAATACCACATTTTATGCAGAAAGTTTTGTTTTTAGGCAAGGACTTAGATTTTACAAGCATTTTAAAAGAATTTAAAGTTTGCCTGTTTTTGCCTCCATATAGAGGTTTGTCTCCAGCTGAAGCAGAGTTTAGTTATCTCAGTACTGCCCGAACCTTAGAACTCTATGGAGTTGAACTGCACTATGCAAGGGTAGGTTTGAATTAATTGCTACTGTTTAAATGGATATCATCTGTATACTTGTTTTGTATGAATTATCGGTTTTAAATACATTTAAGTATTCAGAGTAACTGAGCGTGAATTTAAATGTATAAAGTGATATATTCATAATTTAATCCACTTATGTTTTGTTTTATATAACCCATTTACTTAATGCTTTTAATAAAAAAAATTTTTAACCACAAACCTGGCTCGTCAAGTAGTTAGTATTTTAAAAGGCTGAAATTTTGTCCACCTTTACATATGAGTAAATATTAGCTGCTTCTAAATTGTATTCAAAGTTTTGTTTTCACATGGTGTGCTTAAAAATGTATTGATGGAAAGCAATGTATTTATTCTCTTAATTTTCATGGGGCACTTTATAATTAAAATCATAACTTATTAAAATTAAAAAAGGAAAGTTTGTAGTAGCAAATAAGTAGTAGCTATTGAGTGCTAAGTTTTGAATTGTTTCCTCTCTTCCTCTTCTCTGCACTTGATTAATCTGGTTCTTCCATCTTCTCATCTTTTCTTATTATTCTTATCTTATCTATAGTAATAAAGAGCTTAGACTCAGAGAATCAAGGTGTTCAGCTGAGCATACAGTCATTGCTGACACATCCACATACATTTTAGCCCAATAAAGGAGAAGAAATCATGCATATGCTGAGCCTTCATTGTATATAGCAGTTAACAATCTTTCACCGATACATTATTTTTTCTCCTCCCCTCTCCCATTGACCCCCCCATTCCACTGAAATGTATAAATAAATACATTGACACGGAATATAAGAAGCAAGTATCAGCTTCTGAAGTCTTATCACAAACAATAAGTGGCTGCCTTTAAGATTAAGGTATCATAAACTTTGCCCTTTTTCATAGATGCAATTCTTACCTATAGTAATAAAGAGCTTAGAGAATCAGGAAATGCATGTGATCTTATAGTTCAGAGTTCATGATAGACTCAAGCACATTTGTTTAGTGTTTCACTTATTTTTTAATCAGAAATGGAAGATTGCACTTTGTAATTAACTTAGTTATAAGAATTAATTTAATATGTTTGCTGGTTAATCAATTAAATATTAAACTTTCCTTAAGCCCAGAAAAGAGGGAGAACTAGTTTTGGAAGAAGGCTAGCAACCACTCCCTGTTATACATAGTATAACGTTGTGATGATATTGCTTCAGGGCATTTAAAGACGGCCATGCTTAATCAGAATGTTCAGTTATATTACAACTAGTTCTCGACTTATGATCACAGTTGGGAACACAGTCTTGGTCGCTGAGTGAAGTGGTTGTTAAGCAAGACATTACCTGACCTTGCTCAGTGGCCGCAATTCCAGCATTCCCAATCATTGAAATATCTCATGGTCATTAATGGACAGAGTCCCAAGTCCTAGTGCCGGGGTGTTTCAAGGGGGGAGGTCCTGTGACTCCTGGCGCAGTCGATGTGTGAGTTGTGAGAGTACTGCAGTACAGTACAAAGCCACAGCCACTCCTGGGGGCCTCAGCGGTCCCAGCCCAGCAACATCGCACTTGTCATTGCCAACACTAGAGCCTCTTACACAGGCATTTTCATAACATAGCAGGTTACTATATTTTTTCAAGTTTTGTGATGATTCTAATTTTATTCCATAAAGTAGTTCCTTAAGATCAGTTGTATTTAAATATAGAATAGTTCTATATAGGAGAAGCTTAGGACATTGGTTGTTAGTGAGAGTATAGGGAACGCAGAAGAGCCGGAATATGATATTAAGTCAAAAAATGTTTTTCCCTTAATGCGAATTGACATTAGAGACTCAGCAAGGAAGAGTTATTGCTTCTTTACAAATGATAAAAGTTGTAAGAAAAGAGAAAACAAGTATTCATAATTTTCCTGTTCTTTTTATAGGATCAAAGTAATAATGAAATTATGATTGGAGTAATGTCAGGAGGCATACTAATTTATAAGAACAGGGTACGAATTAATACCTTCCCATGGTAAGGATATGTTTTAAAAGTATTATTATTTCCTATGTACAGGTATTCCTTGCTGAATGACATTAATTAGGACTGGAAACTCCATCATTAAGGGGCATGGTCATAAGTAAGTTAAGCAAGGACTTTTTGTGACCTCAACTTGTCAGCATCCTGCCAGCTTCCCTCTTAATTTCATTCTTCAGAAGCCAGCAGGAAAGGTTACCAGTTGCAATTAAATAACTGCAGGGCACTGCAGTGGCTGTAACTGTGAGGACTGATCAAAACTAGGATTCGTTAGTGTAGATGGCATTCAAATGTTCGTTGGATGTTGTTAAACAAGGGCTACCTATGTACAGTGATAGCTTTCATTTTTAAGTATACATATTTTAAGTATAAGTTAGTCACCTAAGAGTTGTAAAACAAAAATGCCTCAGAATACTACATGCTGCAGGGTTTATAGGTTAAATGGGGGGGGGGGGTTTAAAACATGTCAGATTAATTTTTAATCAACTCTTAAGAGTCAGAATTCAATATTATGCCTTCCTGACCAACTGCAATTGCAAATGTTCTTCAGGGACAAACTCATGCAAAGCACGTTGCAATAAGTAAAATACGTGTGGTTGTGAGTAGGGTCTTTTGATCTAGGAAATCACTGTAATGGTATGTGAGAAAAACCTTGAGAGACAGGGTGAAAAAATGCTGCCCAGGAAACAGATAAGAGTAGGTATAGCCTGCAGCTGGGCCGAGAAAGGGGCTCAGAAGTAAGCCTCCCTAGCTTCTCATGCTGTAAAGGAAAGAACAGGAGATTTGTACTCTCAAACTTGCAAGATTCTATTAATATAGTCTTGCAATAAAATAGAACTAGTACATCTGGCTGTGTTTCCTGTCCAGTCTACCTGGGAAGACTGATAGGGTGCAAATGGGCACACCAGATCTATTTTTTCTCTTTGAGCAGGAGCCAAGATTCCTGGAGAACCTCCAGATGGCAACTATCTCTGACTGGAGGAATATCGCCTCAACCAAAGTTAAAGATGTCAGATCATCAGATATGAGGGATCGTAAAACCCACAGTCAGTTAGTCTCATTAGGGTTGAGCTGAAGCTAATTCTTTCCCATACAGGCCAATACAGCCTCCAGGCATTGGGAAGGCATCTTGATAACATCACTTGGGTGGCCCAAGGCAAAGATATACACTAATGATACTTAACTCTGTACCAACAAATGACTTCACCCAGCAGTTTCATGTAAATGTTAAATAGAAATAGGGAGTTGAGCCCTGCTGCACTTGACAGACCAAAGGCCTAGAACTGGACTTCTCCCCTCACTATCCCCCCCCCCCCCAACACCAAATAGAATTGGCCTTGGAGGAAGGAGAAGAACCACTGATGAACAATGCCTCCCACTCCCAACTTTCTCAGCTGGGTTAAAATATGGGTGTCAAACTCGTCGCGTCATATGATGTGTCGCGGCGTCTCGTGAGTTTTTTTGCATTGCCGGAGTTGGGGTGGGCGCGGCCTCCTTATGATGCAACTGCCCTTTGGGCTGGCAGTTTGACACCCCTAGGTTAGAAGGATATCTTAATTGATGGTATTGAAAGCTGCTGAAAGGCTAAGCAGGGCTAGGATGACCATACCGTGCACTTGTTTACTTAATTATCTACTCTGGTTATCAAGCCAATATAGACCTATATAGTATTAAAGATTATGTCGCTTTTTAAAAATGTTTCCTTATTCATGATTAAGATAAGTTTAAATGATTTTTGTTCTCCTATTTTTCATGCATTAGTATAGTATTTTCCAGTGACAATAATGAGCCATTCAAAGTAGGAATCTATAGGTTTTTAGTTACCTGAATTATTTCCTGCATTCATAGCTTTTGTATGTAAAAAATAATTTATATTTTGATAAACATAATCAAGAGATAGGCAGCCCATATAAATTGAATAAATAAATATAAGAAAAGACACTTTTGCTGATAATAGTCTTCTTTGAGGTATAGTGCTATAGTGATAATATTTAGGTTGGAAAAGATTTAGACAGGTAAATGAAATGATAGATATTTGTCTTGTGAATGTTGAATATAGTGACCATCCTTGTCCAATTAATACATCTGAAGAAATGATTATCTTATTGTGATTTTTTTTATTTCATTAGGTTGAAGATCATAAAAATTTCTTTTAAGTGCAAACAGTTTTTCATTCAACTTAGAAAAGAATTAGTGAGTATTGATACTTCTAATTAATATATTTCATACTAGATTATATTTTATTTTGAAAATGTTCTCTATAGAGCGTACCTGATTAAAATATAAAAATATATTAATTTTGTAATTGTCTTAATAGTAGGCTAAATTATTGTTAATATAGTAAATCTGGCTGAAATTATTCTTTGTGCATAGAGCCAGAGGGAGATTGAAAAAGGCCATACATGTCTAACTTATACTAGCAGCTTGATAAGAAGCTCTCTGAAATTGTTAATAATCTCCTTTTGGAGGGAGGAAGATAAAAAAAATGCTAAAATCTGCTATCATCAATCTGTGACTGTAGTCACAAAGCTTTCCTTCTGGACAGGTTGGCCTTTCATCTTCCAGCATCTTTGGTTCCTGTCCTACTGAATGTTGTCACTTTTAATCTAACAATGTTTCTATTATTGCTAGCTGGTTTCTAGCTCTTAGGAAAGCAGAAGCACTGGCTTAGGCTGATAGGAAGCTGATAATTGCTTCTGAGCATTAACAGCTGGCAGCTAATATATCACCCATGGCAGAGAAATTATATAGATGGACAGGGATGGAAAGAAAAATGTGGATTTTATTTACCTTTTTTGGTGCTCACTAAGCCAAAACCCTCATGTTGGTTCACTCTAATGAATCCTGTACCAAACTTTACCAATTTAACGTTGTGTGTATTAGGGGATGGGGTTGTGAAGCAATACTATTTATATAATACTTGTGCTATCTCCATCTTACATACATTGTAGTACTTAAATAAGAGTCCTTTGGAACTGACAAACAAATATATATCCTTTCTTTCTAGCATGAATCTAGAGAAACTTTATTGGGATTCAACATGGTAAATTATCGAGCATGTAAGAATTTATGGAAAGCTTGTGTAGAACATCACACTTTTTTTCGGTTGGACAGACCACTGCCACCTCAGAAGAACTTTTTTGCACATTATTTTACTTTAGGGTCAAAGTTTCGGTACTGGTAAGTTGCATCTATATTTCATATGATGGTGTAAGAATAATAAAAATAAATGTTACAATTGAAAACTTACTATAAAGTTGTTGCTGTTAATTTGATAGCCCAAATATGAAAAAAAAAAATTGGTGGCCAAGTATTGTAACATTTTGGGGAGTATTACATTATATGCATAGATGAGATTGGGTGCAAGAGAAAGATTTGTTGATGTCTTTGTTTTTTAAACTGATTTGTTACTTTAGCTTACCCTGCAGTATTCATATTTCTATAATATGACAGGAAACTGCTCTTTCAGCAGGCTTTACCATCCACATGACTCCTGGGTTACAAAAAGGACACTTCAGGAGCCTTCAGTCCTTGGTGCACAGATTAGTCACCCACACTGCACCCAACCACATTTCTGACTCACGAATTTTGTTTGAAAACTGAGGTTGTTCCATAGACCTAGCACCCCTGAAAAAGGACTGGTTTAGTCTGCGTTAGGCTGAAGTTTAAAATGAGCTGGAAAACTTATTGACCACTTTGTGTGGTCAGACCAAGGAGGGAAATAGGCAGTACCAAGACTGGCTATAATTATCACGGGAAGGAGACCATTAAAGCAGTGTTCAGGTCACAGAATCTTCCAGTTAGAAATACCTAAGTAGAAGTTATATTTGTAGTGATGGTGTTCTCTGACACTTTTAAAGACAGACAGACATCCCTAAATGCAAATACAGCTAAAGTAATCGTACAGATATGACGTACACATTAAAATTATTTGTAGGATTACAGGAAGGCGGTCTCATTGTTTATTGTTGGCAATACTGTTACAAATTTTTCTCTTCATTTTGGAATGTCACGCTATTTTTTTTTTAATTTTAGACAAATAAAGTACTTATTTTTCTTTACAATCTCAATATTACACTTCCCTTTCAGTGGGAGAACAGAGGTCCAGTCTGTACAATATGGCAAAGAAAGGGCAAACAAGGACAGGGTGTTTGCCAGGTAAGCCACTTAAAGTGACTTGCATGTAGTATGATAAACATATTCATATAGCCTCTTATTTAGATTTCTCCTTACTTTCAAAATGGATTGGGTGTAACCAATCAATAATAACCCTATATAGAAGTTCTCTTGACATATAAAATTTTAGACACATGGAAGCAGGAACAAGACTGGGTTTGTTGCCATACTTTCCAGGGAAATATGGAAGCTGATCAAGACTCCACTGGCTTTCAGCATTGATGAGTAAGATCTGATGGAAATCCTGATCCGCAAAAATTCAAAATTCCATGAAGGGATGTTTTATTCTTTACACCTACCGTAAATGCCGGCGTATAAGACGACTTCCGCGAGCGCTGAAATCGGCGCCAAAGACGGGGGTCGTCTTATACGCCGAGTCGTCTTATACGCCGGAAATACTGGTAGTTTCCGGCGTATAAGATGACGTTCTAGGAATGCGGCCTGGCTATAAAGACGGGGGTCGTCTTATACGCCGGGTCGCCTAATACGCCGGTATATACGGTATTTTCTCCGTTTGCTCAGTTAACTTTCCTCTAGAATATGTCCCAGCTCCTGGTATTATTCTAGTTGGGCCATAGACTTGCCCAGAAACTAATATAGTTCAAAGGTGATACTGTGGAGCATTTTTTCATTGCTTACCTAGATCTGTTTGGTCTAGTATTTGGAAACCAGGAGACTGTGGGACTTTGCCTAGTCCCACTTCAGGCATAAAAAGCTGGCTGGGTGACCTTGGCCAGTCACTCTCTCTCAGCTCAACCCATCTCGCAGGGTGGTTGTTGTGGGGAAAATAGAAGGAGGAAGGTATGTTGGGTATGTTCACCACCTTAAGTTATTTATAAAAATAATAAAGGATGGATTTTAAAAAAAATCTTTAATACCAAAAATTAGTAATGTAATTTCTGAGTATTTTCTACCAATAGAAACAATAACTGAAATCTGAATAACAGGGTCAAAAATCCTACCTCTTCAACCACAAGAAAAGTGGAATGGACTGATATGGACTTGCTTATTATGTGCCTCAGTTTCTCAAACTTGCAGTCCCTGGACACTGAAAGTTATACTGTAAACCATTAACTATATTGTAAAGCATCCCTCTATGGTTACCAGTAGCAAAAACAGAAAAATGATCTCAGGTGTTATCCCAGAAAAAATATGAAGAGGCAATAAAAAACAAAAGTATAGTCAAGTTATTGAAGATTACCTTAGAACAGTGTTTCTCAACCATGACAATTTTAAGGCATGTGGACTTCAGCGTTGCTGGCTGTGGAATTCTGGGAGTTGAAGTCCACATGCCTTAAAATTGTCAAGGTTGAGAAACACTGCCTTAGAAGAAAGTGAGAAAAAGGAGGAGAGCATCAGAGAGCGGCTTTGTTGCATTCTGGCAGTGAAGGAGAAAATCGGGCAGGAGGAACTGAGTGAAAAGCTTTGAGTCTCTCAGGATGAAGAAAAAAACCAAATGCGAGTGGATTCTCAGTGTCAGAGAGGAGTGTTCCTAGACCATGCAGAGCAGATGAAGAGAAAAGGAACCGGAACCAGCCTAAAGTTTCCAAAAGCTAGTTGCTAATCATAATCCCTAGAAAGGACCACAATTCGGACCAGAACTTCTGTTGCTAAGTAAGGTGGTCATTAAGTGAGTCCCATTCAATTTTACAACTTCTCTGCCACTGTTGTTAAGTGAAGACTGCAGTCATTAAGTGAATTGTGTGGTCATTAAGTGGATCTGGCTTCCCCCATTGACTTTGTCGGAAACTGGAAACCATCTAGAAAGATCGCAAATGACAATCCCGTGATCCCAGGATGTTGCAACCTTATCAATACTTGCTAGTTGCAAAGCACCCAAAGTTTGATCATGTGATGCTGCAACAGCCATGAGTACAACAACTGGGTATAAGTCACTTTTTTCAATATTGTCATGATTTCAGTCACTGAATGGTTGTAAATCAAGGATTACCCATATACTTACTCTAGAAATCCGGAAAAGTCTATCGTGCTATAATACAAAGAAACAAATGTCTTTATAAATGGGCTTTCCAGAGGAAAAGATGTGTTGCAGATGCCAAAGACATACTTTATGAAAAGAAGAACTAGAAACTAGAAGAATGCATCACTGTATATATTTTATGGAAGATCACAAAAAATATTGAGGGTTCAATAATGTTGTCTTGATTACATTAAAGGAGAGTGAAGCCTTTCTTTGTGCCCAAACCTTAACTTTTACAAAGTGAGCATTGCATTGTTGTCTTGTCAGATATGTCATCGTTGTCTTTGATTACCAATCCCTGCCAACTTAACAACTACAAATCAATGAAACAGAAGCTGAGAGACAGAATACAATAATAGTGAAAAAAAGCTGAGCATTTACATAGCCCTATACGTGCAGGTCCCTTCCCATGCAAATGTTTGAGGATAGAAGCCAGCAGAGAAAAGAGACTAATCTTCACCCAAATCCTGAAAGTGTGTGTTTGAGCAAACAGCAACTGACTTAATTCAAAAGAACTTGCTTCCTAAAAATTTTTCATTTTGCATATTTGATAATGTAAGCTGAATAATGACACGATCTTGTATTCTAAAACCCTTCTTCTTATTCTTTATTTATTTATTTATAAGTAAAGGAAATTGTATCCTTTTATAGCAAAATATAATCTGAAAGCATCTGTGACTACTCGTACTTTGAACCATGTTTCCGTTATTTTCATCTCTTTCTGATGTATACCTCTTTATCAAATGATTTTTTTTTATGTTTGGCAAAAATGATCCAAGTAAATAAAGCAATTTAGTTACTAAATGTTCTCAAGATCATAGATATTAGAAGAGAAAACTAAAAAGTGGTGGTGGTAGAAGATATACTGTTGTAATGTGGCAAATTTTTCTTTGAAATTTCCACAAAGAACAGGAAGTTTTGGTAACAGTCATGAGTGGGTGGGACTGTGAATTTCAAAATTTTAATAATGTTCTAAATGTAGTTTGACAGTTCAGTGTTTTTGCCTGGCTTAACAAGTTACAGAAGCAACTTTCTGTTTGATCATTAAGGTGAGTTTTCCAAAGAGTTGCATCATTCCTAAAAAGAAAATGCATGCTCATTTAATCTGCAAAAAGTTGGTAACATTTTTATCCAGGCTACCTTAGATTTTTCTTTTTCCTTATATTTTGGATGAGCAGATCAAGTTTTGTAGAAAACGGTGCTTATCCCTGTTGTCCTTAAAAGCACTTTAGAAATGATAGTATGGTAGTATAGTAGTATGGTAGTTGTTGTATTGTTTTTTTAAACTTTTGAAACAACTTTTTTTTAGAAAACAATAACATTTGAGCTAGTAACATGGATACTAGAAATGTACATAAGCATAAATAAATATAGTTGATGTTCTAATGATTATGTTAGATATATCTGTGCATCACACTTCATTTAAATCAATTTCTATGAATTGTTGAAAAATAAGTGTGTGATCACTTCTATCTTTCACAGCTACCTTATGACTAGATTTTTAAAAACTGGTTGTCATATTCAGCTATGATTCAGCTAAGCCAGTAAAAATTCTTAAATTTTATTAAGAGCTGGAGGTTTTTTTAATGCGCAAATATGTCACATGTCTTTGTTTTTTATGTCACATTTGTTCACTGCATCTGAAACTCAAAATTTCAGCACTGCTTATAACGTTGAAATAGAATTCTTCTAAAAGTTTGGATTTTTGTGTCTATAAATGTAAAGTTGATTTGACTTCTCCTTTGCAAATGGTTTGCTTTGAAGATAGCTGTAAATTACGCAAATAATTGTAGTAAAGGACTAATTTAGAGTTAAGAAAAAAAAGAAAGAAGCATGCTTTCTTTCACAAACAGTTTTCCTCCCCCCATATGTGGCACTGTAGATGGTTCTCAGCCCTTAGCAATACAGAATTACTGTAAAAAGAGCACATATGGATAATTTGCTCTGTCTTTAGTTATCCTTCTTCTCATTGCATTTGATTATTTTTCTCTTGTGAATAGTCCCATGAGAATCTGTGTATATATTTGTGGAAGAAATGGTCAAATAACATGCACTGCATTTCAGTACCTATAAAGAGGGAGGCTAGTTTTATTTATTTTTTATTTCAATTTCCAATAGTTTCAGATACATCATTCTACGTAATTTTGTGTAAATTTGTTTTAGATCCCCAAGTAAACCTTTGGCTCGCAAATTGATAAGTGGGATGGACTGGGAGGTTGTCAGCAGAAATTCATTGTCTGATGACAGGTTAGAAACTCAAAGTTTACCATCCCGTTCTCCACCTGGAACCCCTAATCAGTAAGTAAAGTTAAATAATCCCTTTGCAACCAGTTACCTGTTTCTCATTTGATTAATGAAAGTAAATCGTTGTAACATTCTTCCTTGGTGTGCTAAAATAATGTCATAGTGAAGCACACACATATAACTGAAGCAGGATTTAGCTATCGGCTCAATATATTAGATTTTTTAAGAATACTTGCATTTCCCAGTTTCATTCTGGGAAAAGAAAACTTCCCATTGAGAATAATTTTCTTCAGTAGCCTTTACTGTGAGATGTGAACAGTAAGTTGTTTTTAATAGAATAATATTCAGAATTCTAATAAAACCAGATACACCTGTTTTTTGTCCCCCTTGAGCATTTTACAGTATAGCTTAAGATTATTAGTTTTTATGCATCAATTTTATGCAAAACTGTTGTAGCATGTAATATTAGCCATGATTTTTAAAAAATATTGATTTATTTATCGCTAATTTCAGAATATTTTTCATATATAGTTGATATTTTATTTGTGCAGGAAGTAAATATAAAGCATCATTAAGGATGAGGATAAAATTGTCTTTAATATGTGTATAATACCTAATTTTAATTATATCTAAACCGTTTTTGAACAAATTTTCTATGTGTTATACAGAATAGTTGTACAATATCTCTTGTATCTAGGTTTCACTGTATTTAACAGGTTTACTCCTAAGAAAGTGCATCTAGACATAGAATTTGTATTTGCATCATTCAAGTCATATTACTTATTTTGATGAAATTAATTTAAAGCCACCGTGTTCTGTTTTGAATAACCTATGGTTTATCCCTTTCATTTCTTGGTTACATTGTGGCTTTGTTTGAAAATTATATCACAGCATAATTTAGCACAATATAGCTAATCTGGGTTTACTTTAGGTTACATAAGCTTATCCCATCTAGCCTGCTGTGAGGAACAGAACATTGGAAATAGGAAAGTGAAATTTGTTTAAATAAGCAATAGATTAAGCTAACTAGGGCTTAAATACAATAGCAAACTGTGTTTGATTTAAATCAGGAAGTGGATGCTTCCAAATTTTTTTCATAGTTATATAAGCCTATAGTTTATCCAGGTCATTTATATAGTTAAAACTATAGTTTTAACATCATATATAACCAGGTTTCTCTTTCTGTTCAAATGGAACTTCACGTAATTTAGTTACATAAATAGTGAGTCTTACAGAATGAAACGGTGCAGAAGACCCTATTTCTGAGCTCAGAACTCTGCACAAATACTAGTATCTATCTATAAAGGTAATACATTTTACTTCCTGTACAAGCTAAACCACAATCAGGGAGGTTCTCTTTATTCTTTGTGTAACTATTTTTTAATTTCCTCTTTTTCTAGCAAGCTACGTGAAAAGAAAGGAGACCAGGTGTTTTTATTTTATTTTATTTAAATCTATATCTTGCAAAAATCCTTCAGAAGGAAAGATAATATTTGTACTGAAGTATTCTCCGGCATGATGATTGAAGAATCCACCAATGGGTTATTTCAGTCCTCCTGCCCAATCAGACTAAGTTGCCAAGTTGTCATGCCCCTCCTTGACTGGAACCTCTCAGTTTCATCTTAGTCTTCCGCCCATGAGTACTTGATAACTTGACTCTCAGGTTCATTTCTGGCAGGTTAGACAAAATTAAATTGTTAAACCCATTAGTGGATTGTTTGAATTGGAGAATTAGAGGCTCCCAGCCTCTGATTATTCCCTTTACAGGGGATTCTGTCCCCTATTCCTTTTAAACAGGGGAGGAAAGAAGTATTCCTCTCCACATTAAGGGGGGGGGGTGGCTGTTCTTTCCCTAAACTCAGCAGTTAGCTGAGTCTCATTCGCAGCCCATTTTAGGATACGGGGGGGTGACTCCCTTCTCCCTATAGCTCAGCCAGGGCTGAGTCTCCTTCCCATTCCCCTTTCAGGGCATCCAGTCCCTCTTGCGGCTGCCATTTTGAGGCCACGTGGCCTTATACTTCTGACCGGACTCAGTCAGCACTCCCTCGCTTGCGGCCACCATTTTGAGGCCGTTTGGCCTCCAGCTTCTTGCCGAAGCCTCTTCGGCCGGCTGACAGGCTGAATAGAGCGAATTGCAAGCGCTGCGGGGGACAAGTGGAGTACTTCAATTCTCTTTGCTCCGGCTGCCTTTTGAAAAGAAAGAGGCCCTGCTAAGGCGCCATGAGCAGCGTCGCACCAAACAGCTGTTAGGTGCGAATTACTTAATCTCTCCCCCTTTGATCTTTAGAAACTTGGAGGCTCTAGATTTCATTGCAGGGCCTTGTTATAGATCGAATCCAAGCCTCGATCGTCAGACCCAACCCCCACCCACCCAGGGTTCAATGCAACCACCATTTTGTGAGGCAGGAACTTTTCATAGGGAAGGTTCTAGTTGCGGGCGCCATTTTGTGTGCTCTGCTCATACCAATTTAAAGTGTGTGTGTGTGTGTGTGTGTGTGTGTGTGTGTGTGTGGACTAAATATAAGATATTACAATCACAAGATTTGTGGATCCCTCCAACTTGCTGACAAAAAGATCTATTAAGTCCTGCTTGCCTAACACTCCTTCGCCTTAGTCTCTGCCACTCTGCATCTAGTGGTTGCTTGCCAGGACCTGACCATTGCCACTATTGTGAGACACGTGTGATTTCATCACTATTTTGGCCTCAGGACTGGCATACAGATTGTCCTTAGCCTTGGTGACAAGCTCTTTGTAGCGCCAAGCGTGAGTCCGGCTTAGCCAGTGGGCCGGCTCATGTTAATCCACGTGCAGTCAGTCCCTCCACGGGGGGCAACTGACGTCTCTTGCAGAGTGAGCCAGTTCCAGAGCCTCATCTGGGACACTTCTCAATCGCCATGGCAAACCTCACTGAGCCACAGCCTTTAGATACAGACAACCAATCCAGCCAAGCCGATCTGGTTCCAGAAGCGCCTAAGGGAAAGGCCAAAGCGAAATCCAAATACGGCAGGAAGGCTAGTAAGGCAAGCGACAAGCAGGCCGATCGCACGCACAGAGCCCTGGAGAAACAATTCTCCAGGGCCCAACGCTTGTCAGCTGGGCAAGAACATATGCCTCCGCTCCCCCCACCTGCAGCTCCTGAGGCAGGATGCAACTACTGGCTTCATCGAGAGCGTGGTCACTGGAGTGTAAGCATCAGCAGGTCTTGATTCAGACCTTTGGTCAGGGAGGGCCACCCCTCTTTGGGGAGGACCTCGATCTGCCAGGCCCTTCTACGGCACCCACAGCGACATTCACACCGATTGCTGCGGAATTACAACCTCCGCTTGAACCATCCTTTACCGACCAGCTGCAATCATTGATATTGCAAGCAGTTCTTCAAGCCATGGCCTCATCAGGTCACCATCAAACGTCACCCATACTGAGGTCCTCATCAGCGCCCACTACCTCATCATGACCTACATTCGATCGTACCGGCATGGTTTCACCATCCCACTCACCTGAATCCAATTCTTCCAACGCTTCGGATTATGACGAAGGTGCAGACCAGTGGTCGGATTGCGAGGAGCCTCCACAAGACTCCCAACCCATGGCAGAACTCTTCAATACCTCTCTTTTTCCTTCCTTACTGTGCAGGGCCTGTGCAGTGGGTAAGCTCACCTCCGAACCGGTCCCCACCCCAGAGTCTTCCACCACTCAAAACACGAATCCCCTGTTAGCTGAACCAGTAGTTAGACACCTACAAATACTCTGTCCTCCCTTATTCCTGAAGAATATTCAGGGACAATGGGAATCACTGGCAGCTCAGCCATCCCAGGAAGAGGCTGAGCGCAAGATTGTGGACATGGCCCAAACTTTGACGGACTTATTGGAGGTACCCAAAGTGGATGAATCCCTAGCCCCACCTTTCTCAGCAGCCAGTCTTCCAGCAGATGTTTCTGACGCCCTTAAGGCGGAAGATAAGAAATCTGAACTAGCATTGCGCAAAGTTCACCAGGCATCTGCATGGGCAGCGAAGGCGGCAACCTCCACCTCATTCATCGCTAGAATCTCCCTTACCTGGCTTAGACAGTTACAGGACAGAATTCCCCTGGAGATCAGGGTCCATCAGGACCTGACCAAACTCATAGCGACCTCTGAGTATATGGCGGATGTCTCCTTATATTCCGCCAAACACACCTTATACTCCGCCAAACACTCGGGCAATGGCTTCCAGCGTAGTCGCTCGGACGCTACTCTGGCTTAAAAATTGGAGGGCCGAAAGCAAACACAAGTGGCGAGCGGCCACCGCCCCCTTCAAGGGAGGCAGATTATTTGGGGAGGCATTAACTCCATATCTCATAGAAAATAAACAGAAGCAGAAAGTCATCTCTCATTTGACGAGGAGCGCTAGCTGGCGCTTCCTCCCCTATGGTCACTGTCAGCCATTTTGGACTGGCACTACGGCAGATTCGGGACAATCCTACCAGCCTTCAGCTGCCAAAACAATGTACATTTGACAGGACGAGCTATAGGGACTGGTCCCAGTATCAGACCCAGAACAAGTCTTCCTTTCGTGGCAGAGGGTGTCGTCCCTTCCGTCGTACCAAATGACTTAGGGGGGACTTCTCCCATTGGCAGCAGACTCACTCTTTTCATCCACCAATGAGAAAACACAACCACAGACTCCTGGGTTCTGCGTATCATAAGAGAAGGCCTTCAAATCCACGCCCATAGACCATTTTATCTCTTGTACAACCATGAGAAACCCAATAAAAAGAGGGCTCATGGAGGACGCCATTCAACACTTACTAAGCATCAAGGCCACAGAGGAGGTCCCCCTGAACCAGGCAGGACAGGGGTATTACTCCATACTATTTGTAGTCCCCAAATCCTCGGGGATGGAGAGCAATCCTCGACCTCAAAAGTCTGAACCTCCATCTCCAGTACTGGAAGTTCAAAATGCAAACGTTCCATTCCATCTTGGGCAGTGTCAGGCAAGGAGATCTCATGACCTCAATAGATCTAACAGAGGCATATCTGCACATTCCCATCGTCTCAGAGCATCGCAGGTTTCTGCGGTTTTGTTATCTCAACCATCACTTCCAGTACAGGGCCCTACCATTTGGCCTTTCCTCCACCCCCAGGGTCTTCACCAAAATCCTGGTGGTGCTGGCAGCTCACTTGAGATTGGTCCCGGTGCGCGTCCAGTGTTACCTGGACGACATACTGATCCAATCACATTCCATTACAACCGCCCATTCTGACTTGGCCCTCACTATCAAGACTCTCCAGAACCACGGGTTCTTGATAAATTTCAAAAAGAGCCAAACATCTCCCTTGACCTGTCTGTTACACCTGGGTGCGGTAATAGACACGGACTCTTGCCACGTGTTTCTGTCAGAGGAACGGCGCAGGAGCATCAGAGACCTGGCCCTCAGGATATGCAGGAGCAGGGCAGTGCCACTAGCTCTCCTTTCCCAAGTCCTGGGGAAGTTGATATCCTGCATAGCGATAGTGCCGTGGGCCTGACTGCATGCCCAGACCCTCCAGTGGTTTCTGCTCCCGTACCAGAGACAATACACCAGTATCTCCAACCAGTTGGTGTACGGCCTCGCCAGGTGTGTCTCTCTTTCGACTGGTGGACATCCTCGGCCATCCGCAAGGGGACTCTTTTCAGGGAGCCTTGCTATGCCATTGTGGCCACGGACGCAAGTCTCTTCAGTTGGGGTGCACACCTCCAAACTCGGATGGCTCAGGGACAGACCTGAGACACAGCATAAATTAGTTGGAGCTCACAGCGATCCATCTGGCTCTCAAGCATTTCCAAACAGTGATCAAGGGGCAACATGTGCTGGTCCTAACGGACAACATGGCTGCAAAAGCTCATGTGAACTGGCAAGGGGGCACTCAATCCAGGGCACTCATGACGGAGGCTCGGGCTCCTGGGCAAAGAGCAACCTGCTTTCCACCAGGGCCGAGCACATCTCGGGAGAAGCGAATTGTCAGGCAGACTTCCTCAGCAGGTCGATAGTGGACCATTCGAAGTGGAGGTTACACCCAGATATCCTCAGGGAGGTCTCGAACAGGTTTGGTCATCCAATCATGGACCTGTTCGCCTCACCGGAAAACACCCAGCTGCCCAGATTCTTTTCACGCTTCCCCTCTCGGGGAGTGGAGGGGACAGACACCCTATGCAGCCCGTGGCCGCAAGGCCTTTTGTACGCCTTTCCCCCGCTGCCTCTGCTTCCAGCAGTGGTCAGGAAGGTCCTGGAGGAGCAGGCGGAGTTAATCTTTATTGTACCTCACTGGCCCAGAAGACTGTGGTTCACAAACCTGGTGAGCCTCTCCATCTCAGATCGGTGGCGGATCCACGACAGTCGCATACGGTTGACGCAGGGGGATCTACAACATCCAGACCCCCAATGGTTACAGTTAGCTGCCTGGCACTTGAACTCAGAAGTCATATTCGTCAGGGGTGATTGACATGATCCAGGCTGCCAGGAGACTGGACTAATCGTATTTACGATCATACTTGGAGGAACTTCTGTCACTGGTGTGACAAGAATCACGTGAGTCTGTCCCAGGTAACCACCCCAAGGGTATTAGACTACTTGTTGGAGGGTGTCAACAAGGGATTGTCGCCCAACACCATTCGTAGACAGGTAGCGGCTCTCTCCACGTTGCTTTCCTGGGTCTCATCAGAGACCTTGTCCCAGCACCCTATGGTCCGCTCCTTCCTTAAAGGAGTTATCAATAGCAGACCTCCCGTGGTTCACAGGTATCCCTCCTGGGAGCTACTCCGGGGTCTGCAGGCACTAACTTCCTCACCCTTTGAACCCATTAGAACCTGTTTCTTGCGGTTCTTGTCACTTAAGGTTTCCATCCTGATAGCCATTACCTCCGCCAGGCGCATCTCGGAACTGGCCTCTTTATCAATCAGGAAGGACCTGTGCATGTTTCACAAAGACAGGGTGGTTCTTAGGTTAGATCCCTCCTTTATCCCTAAGATAAACACAGTGTTCCATAGATCACAGGAAGTTATTCTTCCAGACTTCTGTCCCCGCCCATCACATGACTTGGAACGGCAATGGCACTCATTGTATGTACGTATAGCCTTGCGCTGTTATATCAAACACATGGCAGCCTTCCGTAAGTCTGAAGTCCTGTTTGTATCCTTTAAGCCTTCATCCATGGGGCAAAAGGTATCCGCCTCCACCATTGGTAGGTGGATCAGGGCTTGCATAGCAGGTGCATACGTATCACTTGCCCTGCCCATTCCTAGTTATGTGACAGCTCACTCCACCCGCAGTGCTGCCACATCGGCGGTGTGGGCAATTCAAGCATCCATTGAGGACATTTGCAGGGCGGCGACATGGTCCTCGCCTTCCCCTTTCATTAGGCATTACCGATTGAACAAATTTGCCTCAGCTCAGGCCGCCTTCAGTAGACGAATCCTCCAACAGGTAGTGCCAGCATCAGGGTTACAGGCCCCAACTGATTTCCTTCCATAGGGACGCCAGGAGCTTTGGTACGTCCCATTGGTGGATTCTTCAGTCATCATGCTGGAGAAGGAGCGTTGGCTTACCTGAACGCCTCTTCTCAGCATGATGATGAAGAATCCATGCCCTCCCCTCTAGAGGTCAGTTAGCTCCGTGCCCAGGGCTTGTTTTTTTCCTGGTATCTGCTCTGAGAGTTGTCACGTCAAACTGTTGTCATTGGCTACACTGTCAATGAAACTGGGAGGTTCCAGTCAAGGAGGTGCGTGACAACTTGACAACTTAGTCTGATTGGGCAGCACGACTGAAATAACCCATAGGTGGATTCTTCATCATCATGCTGAGAAGAGGCGTTCAGGTAAGGCAATGCTCCATTTCTGTAATATTAGGACACCGTTTAAGATTCATGTTGATTCCTCATCTATTGATGCATGCCACACATGTATCATTTATATAGATGTCAGTCAGTGTTAGAGATAATACTGTGGTTGCAAATGTCTTATTGATTTCTAATATATTTCTTACAAAATTTGTTTTACTATTACTTATTGACTGCTTTTCACACCAATAGAGAGCATGCATTTAGGAGTGCAATCAGTAGCATTTATAGAAATTGATTTGATATTTCTTAGAAATGCTGGTAAAATTATTTAAAAGCACAGAACTTACAAATCTTTACTAATGGGTTAATAAATAATTGTTCTTTCCATGCTCAGTCGCAACTCCACATTTACTCAAGAGGGAAACCGTTTACGGCCATCTTCAGTTGGACATTTAGTAGACCATGTAGTCCATACTTCACCCAGTGAGGTATTTGCAAATCATCGGTCACCTTCTTCTACAAAGGCCAATAGTATAATTCTAGAATCATCACCGTAAGTTTGATTTTTGTAATCCTGCAAAGACATTTTGTACTGCTATAACATAGAGACTTTCCATATTTCTTCCATATAGCTATACGGTTGGCAGATCTCATTTTTATATTTAATTATACCTTGTAAGTAAAAACTGAAGTAACATAAGGGATCTAATTTTAGATAGAATATAAATATATAGCATAATAATAGCAAATCGTAAATTTATCAGGTAGCTTCATATAAGCAATCTAGCAACCATATCACCCCTCCATTTGTGCTGTGGGAGATAATACTTATCTACTTTATAGTATTTGTAAATATTTTTACACAGTGTAAAATAGCACACTCAAATGGCCATATACAGTGGGGCAAAAAAGTATTTAGTCAGCCACCAATTGTGCAAGTTCTCCCACTTAAAAAGATGAGAGAGGCCTGTAATTGTCATCATAGGTAGATCTCAACTATGAGATACAAAATGAGAGAACAAATCCAGACAATCACATTGTCTGATTTGGAAAGAATTTATTTGCAAATTATGGTGGAAAATAAATATGTGGTCAATATCAAAAGTTCATCTCAATACTTTGTTATATATCCTTTGTTGGCAATGACAGAGGTCAGACATTTTCTGTAAGTCTTCACAAGGTTGGCACACACTGTTGCTGGTATGTTGGCCCATTCCTCCATGCAGATCTCCTCTAGAGCAGTGATGTTTTGGGGCTGTCGCTGGGCAACTCCCTCCAAAGGTTTTCTAAGGGGTTGAGATCTGGAGACTGGCTAGGCCACTCCAGGACCTTGAAATGCTTCTTATGAAGCCACTCCTTCGTTGCCCGGGCAGTGTGTTTGGGATCATTGTCATGCTGAAAGACCCAGCCACGTTTCATTTCAATGCTCTTGCTGATGGAAGGAGGTTTGCACTCAAAATCTCACGATACATGGCCCCATTCATTCTTTCCTGTACACGGATCAGTCGTCCTGGTCCCTTTGCAGAGAAACAGCCCCAAAGCATGATGTTGCCACCCCCATGCTTCACAGTAGGTATGGTGTTCTTTGGATGCAACTCAGCATTCTCTCTCCTCCAAACATGACGAGTTGTGTTTCTACCAAACAGTTCTACTTTGGTTTCATCTGACCATATGACATTCTCCCAATCCTATTCTGGATCATCCAAATGCTCTCTAGCAAACTTCAGACAGGCCCGGACATGTACTGGCTTAAGCAGGGGGACATGTCTGGCACTGCAGGATCTGAGTCCCTGGCGGCGTAGTGTGTTACTGATGGCTGCCTTTGTTACGTTGGTCCCAACTCTCTGCAGGTCATTCACTAGGTCCCCCCATGTGGTTCTGGGATTTTTGCTCACCGTTCTTGTGATCACGTTGACCCCACGGGGTGAGATCTTGCATGGAGCCCCAGATCGAGGGAGATTATCAGTGGTCTTGTATGTCTTCCATTTTCTAATTATTGCTCCCACAGTTGATTTCTTCACACCAAGCTGCTTGCCTATTGCAGATTCAGTCTTCCCAGCCTGGTGCAGGTCTACAATTTTGTTTCTGGTGTCCTTCGACAGCTCTTTGGTCTTCACCATAGCGGAGTTTGGAGTGTGACTGAGGTTGTGGACAGGTGTCTTTTATACTGATAACAAGTTCAAACAGGTGCCATTAATACAGGTAATGAGTGGAGGACAGAGGAGCCTCTTAAAGAAGAAGTTACAGGTCTGTGAGAGCCAGAAATCTTACTTGTTTATAGGTGACAACATACTTATTTTCCACCATAATTTGCAAATCAATTCTTTCCAAATCAGACAGTGTGATTATCTGCATTTGTTTTCTCATTTTGTCTCTCATAGTTGAGGTCTACCTATGATGACAATTACAGGCCTCTCTCATCTTTTTAAGTGGGAGAACTTGCACAATTGGTGGCTGACTAAATACTTTTTTGCCCCACTGTAAATATTAAACATGTGTTATACAGTTATTGGAAATGATTTCTCATTTTCCCCTTAAATAAAATGGGTCATGGTTCAATATTAGTGTGTTAGAATACCACAAATTTAACCTTTTAAAGAAGTCATTGGAAAAATTAATAGAATCCATATACAGTATATTGACTAATACATTACTTGTGCTTAAGAGATATAGTAACATTTGGAAGATATAGTATCAGATTTATGTGACATAGCACTTAGCTGAATAGGAATATTTCAGGTTTTTTATTTGATTATGCACATTGTGAATGAAATAATACAGAAAGCTACTTTGATTCAAAATATTCCACTTACACATCCATTGTTTTAAACATTCAAAGGAAATTAAGAGCTAACTGGGTAAATATAAGGTTAGGAAGTTTTTTTCCAGTTTATTCTTAATCCTCACAATTTATTATGGTAATATATTACCGTGTATTACACTTGGAACCATAGTATTATATTAGTTCAGGTTTTTTTGTATATGTTGTAAATTTTATTTGCCTTTCACGTTTGAAAAAAAAAGAATTTAAACACGATAATGTCCTGGATATTATGTTCTAATGGAAATGTATTCTCAGGATTTAATCAGATTACAATTAAAATTGGGAAGAGGAGTTGCTAAGTAATACATACTAGTTTGTAAATTAATACCAATATATGAAATCATTTGTACCTTGCATTTCTATATGAGGCTAGTGAATTCCCAAGCCTACTAATTTAAATGAGTCTGAAAACAAGTCAGTGACAACCTTGGTTATTTTTACTTGGATATGCTATTGTGGGAATTGTATTGAAATTGTCAGTTTTGCAGTGTGAATAAGTGAATTGTCATTAAGACTTTAGATACATGAATTTCTAGAAATTTGTGTAAACTGCAGATGAATTACTGTACAGACTTGTCAAATTGCAAAATAATAGTATATTATCAGGCCAACTTTGAACACTGTCTTTTACAAGACACTTCTTAAAGATTTCTACTAGTGCATTTGGATTTTAGTAACGATGGATGTAGGTGTGTTTGGATAATCTGTCATACCTGGTTTATGGTGTAACCGTTGGTGCTTTTCCTTCCGCTTCCTCCTGGGCATATCTGAAAGCACTGATCTATCATTTAATCTGAGATTGCCACAAATAGCATAAATGTTTCCCCCTTTGGAAAATGCCAGAGATGGAACCCAAATGTTTTTCCTAATGAAAACATTTTTGTCATGCAAGCATATGGGATAAACTGGGTATTTACTTAAGAATATCATTGGAAAGCCTGTAGTAGAATATAAGGCATATATGTGGCATAATAGAAAGTAAGCAGAATTAATCTTTTAGAACACATAGAATAATTCTATTAAAAAAGAATCAAAAAGAAATAGTTCTGTTGACCCTAGTTTTGGGATGAGGCACACACCTAAAAAGCCAGCTAGGATGGGGTATGAAGCTTCCCCATGCGCCCCATACCCACTTACCTCGCAGCCAGGCCTCTCCTTGCCGGCCCACTTCTTCTGAGGCGTCTTCTGCAGCCACTTGCAGAAGTCATAGGCTTTTCCAGAAGGCCCCTGCAGCCAAGAACTGAGCTATGGATTCAATCTATAGCTCAGTTCTGCAAGTCTTGTGCAGCCAAGGACTGAGCTATAGATTGAATCCATAGCTTGGTACTCGGCTGCATAGGCCTTCCAGAAAGCCTGACTGAAATGCAGGCCGGAATGCAGCTGCAGAATGAAGCTGCTGCTTTGGCCAGAAGAAATGGACCTGCTGGGTGGAGCTGTCGGTGCTGGAGGTGAGTATAAAAAACACCCCCTGAAAATAAGTCCTGGTGCCTCTTTTGGAGGCAAAAAAAAAAAAAAAGACCCAGTTTTATTTTCGGGGAAACATGGTATGTTCTGGGAAGCTCAGAAGTATAGACATATATACCTGCACATAATCTGAAATAAAAGCATGAAGGGAAAAATCTATAATTTAAGAAAAACTGTACATATTAAGTGGGACTGGAAAACTGACCAGATTTGGATACTGAAGTGAAGAGAAATAAAACAGTATGAAACAGTATGTGCACAAAATAACATTTTATTGCAAATTCTATTTTTTCCTAATTTATAATTGGAATCATGAATATAAACAATGTGCAAAAATTAGTGTTTTCACTGAAAGGCTGGACTAGTTTTTGACAAATTATATGCAGAAATTACAGCCTTTGTATAAACTATATCTACCTGATTTCTTCCCAATGCAATGCCTTATGGCCTGCACGAAGTCCTCCTTGGGTCTCTTGCCTTTTTCTAAGAAATTCTTCTCAAAGATATAATGGGCAAGAAACAAGTAGGAAACCTCCCCCCCCCCCGACCAGCTTTTAATCATGTTACATTTAAGTCCCATCTTCTGTTCTATTGGTTATTTATGCCAGTTGCTGAGGACTTGTACTTTAATTCACACACCCATATTCTGTAGTTGTCTTAAAGATGCATTCTTTTTAACGTGTAAATTTCAAAAACATCTTTTTATTTTCTCATGTTATATGTAGGTCTCAAGAGACCCCTATAGATGGCCAACCACCTGCACTGCCACCTAAACAATCTAAAAAGAATAGTTGGAACCAAATTCATTATTCACATTCACAGATAGAATTGGATAACCATATAAATGAAACATATGATGATGATTCTTCCTCGTCTCCTGAAAAATCTACTGTAAGATTTTTTTCCACACTTGTTCGATTTGAATATATTAATAACTTTAGGGCTTATGTACATTGATTTCAATTATTGTAATTTATAAATCTGTTAAATGATACTTGTATGTTAATTTGTATTAGCTACATATTAGAGAGACAGCTTGATGTAGTGATTAAGGCATCAGTCTAGAAACCAGGAGAGTTCTAGTCCTGCCTTAGGCACAAAACTAGCTGGGTGATCTTGGGCCAGCCACTTTCTCTCAACCCTAGGAAAGTCAATGGTAAATCACTTCTGAAAAACTTTACCTAATAAACTGCAGAGATTTGTCCAGAAGGGGGAAAAAAAGCTATATATTTCTGTTTCTGCGCATAGTTCTTTACTGGCAATGGGATACTGTGGTAAATTGCAATCTGCAGGTACTTATCTTACATCCCAAATACTGAATCCCTGTTTTTGAGCATTCAGCCATGTCTGTCTATCAGGAAAACATTCTCCTTCCTCTCTACATATCCAAAGTCTGTTTCAGAAAGCTGAAAGACTCTGAGAAGCAGAAGGGCTCAACCTAGGTTTGCTGATTTGTTTTCTAGTGTATCTAGTATTTATTTATTTATTTATTTATGAGACTTATATACCGCTTTAAGTGCAAGCACTCTCTAAGCGGTATGTTAAAATCGGATTATATATTCTCTTTCTTTATTCCCTATGTAATTTTCTGTTTACATGATTGTAACTCCGTGAAAAACAATTGAGCTCCAATTATTAGAAGAGGAAATAATTAGTTTAGTAATAAGAAATTATAGATATTTTTAAAATTCAGCTGTGCTCTTTAATAGAAGTTGGCATTAGTGTAAACAATACTTCGTTTGAGGGTCCTTGGTGCTCTCTGAGCTTGCTTGTTTTCTTGCTGACATTTCATTATCCAAATTACTTTGTTTTCATTTTCAGCCAAATGGTGGGATTCTTCATGACAATCTTGTTCTAATCAGAATAAGACCTGATGAAAATGGCAGATTTGGTTTCAATGTAAAGGTATTAAAATTTTTGTTATATCTTTGGCTACTTTAATACTTAGAGAGGGTTTTATTTTTACATATTTTCATTATTTATGTTTCTTTCAAAAGGGTGGATATGACCAGAAGATGCCTGTCATTGTGTCTAGGGTGGCCCCCGGAACACCTGTAAGTCTGATCAAAGGAAGTTCACAATGATATATATGGTTAACTTTCAGTACTTTGTTTAATTTTTTTATTTCTTTACAACTATTTTCATAACAGCGAGTTCTGATGCATCATTTTAACATTAGAAATGGAAGCTTGGGATATAAGAATTATAAGTTACTTTATCTAATCAGAGGAAATCTTTTAAACTTCCTAGTTCTTAGGGTTTTTTTTAAACAAAATACTTTATTGTATTATAAGATGCAAGTTATCACATTATATAATTTGGATTCAGTGGTATTTATGTAATAAAGGCAGTGCTTGCTTAACTAATTGAGACTTATGATCTCACTGTTGCCATAATTGTTAAGCAAATCACCCACAATTGTTAAGTAAGACTGTGACTTGTGATTTTATTGTTGGTGTCTCCATTGACTGCTTGTCAGAAGCCGACTGTAAAGCATTGAAATGGCAATCAGGTGACCCTGGGATGCTGTTGTCAGTCCACTAGTTGTGAAGTGCCAGAATCTTGATCTTTTGACTGCAGGGATGCTGTGACAGTAGTAAGTGCAAGGACTGGTCACAGAGTTACTTTTTCAGCGCCATTATAATTTTGAACAGTCACTAATCAGGGCAGTCATGAAGTGAGGACTGCTTATATTAATTAACTAAAGATTATTACTACCATGATGATTTAAGAAACGTAAACCTTTAAAGATTTAAAAAAATCACTATTAACTATGATTTCTGAAATGATAACGTTAATGAACATAAGGTTACTTAAATTGTACCTCTAGAATCGAGTGTAGCATTAAAACCTGCGAAGTGCATTACATTATTTTATTATATAATAAAGTTTTCCATTTTAAGCTTAATGCTTAATATTATGGTCTTTGCTTTATTGTAACTTGAGGTTTATGTACATTAAAAAAAGAAAATGGAACATAAAAGTAAAAGAGTTTGCTCATAGAAGTAGATAAGTATTTGGTTTATAATTTCCCCTTTCTTTATACTTTTATCAATTTGCAAGATTTACAGATGGTCCCTTGACTTATAACCGACCGCTTAATAACTGCTTGAAATTATAATGAGACCATAATAGGTGTTTTATGGCTAAAAAGCACTTCTGGCTGTCATAATCTGTTATTTTACGCACCCCTCCCCACATTCACAAGACCATATTTCGGGCACTTGGCATCAGCTCACCTTTTAGATCAGTTTTAGCATCCCATGGTCACATCACTGTGATTTTCGAAGTTTTTTCCAGTTTTTGGGAAAAAAAATATTCAATCAGAAGAATAGGTTCTCATTTACTACCAATGTGTTTGCTTAATGGCCATGGATTCACTTAATGATCATGATGGTTCACGTAGTGATTACAGTAAAAAATATAAAATCTGGTCTAGTCACGTTGCTTTGATTTACTATCATAATAACTACTAGATATCCAAACTCAGTTGCATTTGTAAGTCAAGGACTACATTTGTAAATATTGTAAATATCGTGTTAAATGATTATGTTTATCTTGCTCCAATTTCCCATCTCTATAAGATGCTATGAAATGTTTAATATGTTGGAAACACAGTGGGTAAGGTGAACATTGTCTAAGAATGTAACATCAAAAATCGTATGCAACATGTAGAGAAAATGTTTTTTCTCTCTAATACAATATTTGGGGGGTCTTCCAATAAAGTTAAATGCAGGGAACTTTAGAGGGATAAAGAAAAATAAGCACTTTTCAGGTCTTTAGATATGATGATGCCCACTTATTTAGATTCTTTTAAAATGATGTTTCACAAATTGGTGGAAGGCAGGACGTTAAAAGCTACTAACCTTGATATTTGCTTTAAAGTAGCTTATTTATTATTGTAGTTCAGTTCCCTATTGTATTAAATAGATTCTTCTGTGCATTGCTGGTAAACAATCAAAATTTCTCTTTGTGATAGTGTGAATATTAAACGATTACATCAGGGAACTCTAAAAAGTTACTGTACAATTTTTTCTTTATTAGTTATAATTGTTTCTTAAATTTATTTGTCACTAGGTGGCTTACAATAATAAAAACAAATAAAATGAAAGTATAAACAAGTTCTGTTGCCAAAGCAACACAATAACATTATATCAATATGAAAACCAAAAAGATGGATGGGTGGAGAGCAGTGGGGGAGAGAGAGGTGGAGTCTGCATCAATCCAGCAGACACCTCCAGTGTGGAACTCCCCCATTTGGTCCCCAGGCCAACCGGCAGAGCCAGGTCTTCAGAATCTTACAACGGAGAGAAAGGATAGTGGAGGCAGATCTCACCTTGGAGGGTATGATGTTCCAAAGGGTGGGAGCTGCAGCAGGGAAGGCTCTTCTTCTTAATCCTGATAGTCAGAGTTCTTTGACTGAAGGATCCAAAGTATTCTAACTCTACCAGCACGAGGCAGTTCATCAGGTAGCCTGGATCTATCTTTTTATCCATTTTATCTAGCTTTCTTTATTCCATTGTCCAATTTTATTCTTAAACAGAAAAAAATATTTTAGAACTTATTAGGATAAACTAAAGAAATGTCAGAAAGTTTTTTTCTGGAAAGGCAATATATAAATATAAAAAAATAAATAATGAACAAGTTAGCAATATTTTTGAGTTTATTATTTCGATATGACATAAACTGGATTATTTAACAGCTGTATTTAGATGTGTAACTCTGAAGTACATAACTTAATATTACGATACTGATTGTATCCTTCTGCTTTTCCTCTTCAAACACAGCAATGAGGGAAATATTAAAAGCTTCTGTTATTGAATAAGTGTAGTTCAATATGTTTTTGATAAATCATGGTTAGGGGAGACAAGTCAATTTCATAAAGTATTATTTGAAGCTTGCTTTTCTTTTTGTCCAGGATCACATGCTGTTACAATCTGCAATTGATTAAAAAAAAGTGAAAACTTCCAAAATCTTTCCTACAACTACTCCAGTGGGCAAAGTATATTAAACAAGTATAGCATTTGTATGCTGACTGTGATTTAGCACTCTATCTAATTCTTCAGTATGTCCATTTTGTGCTTTTAAGCAGTTAATTTAAAAAGAAAAGGCACGTCTCTTATCCACTGGAGTAAAACTTTGTTTCATGTTGCAGGCAGATGTTTGTGTCCCTCGTTTGAATGAAGGGGACCAGGTTGTACTGATCAACGGCAGGGATATATCAGAACACACCCACGATCAAGTTGTTATGTTTATTAAAGCTAGCTGTGAGCGGCACTCAGGGGAACTTGTACTCCTAGTTCGACCCAATGGTGAGTAATTTTACCTGTATAAAACATGCTTCTTTTTTCCCTTTATACTATGCTGTCATTAGAGCAGTGGTTCTCAACCTGTGGGTCGGGACCCCATTTGGGGTTGAATGACCATTTCACGGGGGTCGCCAAACAAGGCTGTCCGCCATTTTTCCCCCCTTTTCTTTGGCCACGCCCCTGGCACCCGGTGATGTATAAGTGGTTGGGGGTCACCACAACATGGGGAACTGTATTATGGGGTCGCGGCATTAGAAAGGTTGAGAACCACTGCATTAGAGCATTTGTTGTGAGATTTATTCTGCCTATTGTCCTTATATACTCATTGTTTTAGTGTTATTTAAATTGTCAGCTGCTTTTCTATATATAAAAAGAAAAATAGCCAAGTCAGTGTTTGTCCTCTAATAGGGTACACAATGGTTAAATAGTTCAGTGAGCATTATATAATTGTCCTAATCTGCTAGTTCAAATGTTGAGACTGTTGAACGTTCTAGATATGACAAATTAAATCAACATAAACAACCTAAGAAGGAATTTACTTTCATCTTTATGCCTTATTAGGGGCGGCGCAGTGGCTCAGTGGTTAAGATGCTGGGCTTGTCGGCTGGAAAGCCGGCAGCCAGGTTCAAGACCCGAGTGCCATGTGACCCAGCTCCTGCCAACCTAGCAGTTTGAAAGTATGCAAACGCAAGTAGATAAATAGCTACCATTCATTGAAAAGATAACTGCACCCCGTGGGATCATGCTGGCCACATGGCCACGGAAATGTCTTCAGAGAGCGCTGGCTCAGTGGCCTTGAAATGGAGATGAGCACTTCCCCCTAGAGTCGGCAACAACCAGCGGAATAAAATCCGCAGGGATTCCTTTACCTTTTTTTTTATTATGCCTTATTATAATTGTTTAATTTGAAAACATTACTTAGAATTGTAAATAGGTCTACATGCTGTATAAATTTTTAAAAGAATTTGGATTATAATAGAATCTTATACAAACTAAACTTAAAGAGCATATAGAGAAACTAAGAAGTGCAAGATAAAGGAAAGAAAAAGAGAATAAAGAGTAAAGTAAGAATATAATAGAGAGAGAAGAGATACCGTATTTTCCGGCGTATAAGATGACTCGGCGTATAAAACGACCCCCGACTTCGGAGAAGATTTGCATGGTTAGAAAGTCGTCTTATATGCTGGAAAATACGGTATATAAAGAAATGGTTTTGAACCTTCATCACAAAAGTATAAACAAATTTAGTAACTTCATCCTCTCTAAATTACAAACATGTATCTATTCATCCCATATCTCTTACCTATAAGCAAGATTTTCTTTAGGTATCTTCTATTAGTTTGTTTAAAGAAACATGTACATCTATAGTTATCATCATGGCTTGCTGCTTTGTATTTCTTGAATTGATACATGAATAAGTTTTCTTTCTTCCCCAGCCAAATCTAAAGCTGTCCTGGAGAACTTTATATAGAGAGAACTTTTCTTGCTTGTTCATTAATCATTTTATGTGTATGTCTGATATATCTTTTCATGTTACTTTTTCCCCTAAAAAAATCCAGAAATATTTGTCTTTTCACTAAAGAAGAAGTTTCACTTCCCTTGAGCATTTTGCTACTTTTTTATTCTCTTGTGATATTAACTGAAATGGGAAACTAGAAATTACAAATATAAAATTGCATCAAACCATAGATTTTTTTTTCTAATGGTTATTTCTATTATTTTACTCAATTTTTATTATCCTTAGAGAACTGCCTTTCTTGTCTATTTCCTGCTTCTGATCTTTTCATAATTGTTTCTTTTATTATTTGTACCAATATATTGTTGCTCATCATATTGTTCTTGATGAAAGTTATAGACCTTTGTGCTTTCATCATTTTGGCAAAATTTCCACTTTTTAAAAAGAAAGCTTCCTTTACTTTTCATAGCTGCTTTAGCTTTGGGCAATTAGTGTTCCAAAATTAAGAATGCTGTCTTATATTCATTTCTTTGGAAGCAAGCCTCATTGAACCTAATGTGACTTACAGTCTGAACCAGTGCATTTTACATTTAAGTATCTCATTTTTAAATTTTTCTCGTAAGCCAGATGAATACAACGTTTTCTTAATAAGCTTCTGTATAACCCATTGTGGCATCTTGTTGGCTGGGTATGAGATAATTAATTCTGGTTTATTGCTCAGTGACAATATAAGAACATTTAGAAGAAAAATATAACCAGAAATAAAACGAGCTAAGCAGGTTGAAATTACTGCACTAGGTCAACAAGCAAGAGAGTATAACTTTAATCCATTATTTGATTATGTGTTCTATTTTAAGTTGCCAAACTGCTAAAAGTAGCATTAGTTTAAATGAAAGAGTTTGAAATTAAAAAGCAAACACCATAATTTCCACCTCCACATTTTTTCAGTTTTGTTTTTGTTCTAACCAGTACTAATAAAATATGTTTGTTTTCCACAAATACTGTCTGGCACATAAGTGTCAAACACATGCTGTTTCAGATAGGAAACATATGGAGGATAATTGTTAAATGAGAATACCATGAAATCTAGTAAAAAAATTACAACCTTCCTTTTCCCCTGCTCAAATCTTGGGTAGGAGATTCTTGTCTACTGTGTGGTTCCTAATGTAAAGGGTTAAAGGAATCCTCTGAAGCAGATTTCAAAACTATAAGAATATAGAGAAAGTAATTACCTGAAATACCTGCATTTCTAGTGGACTAGGCTATAATTCCTTCTGGGATGGCTTATTCTGAATTTCATACGTTAGTCTGAACAAGCCCCGAGCCATCTGGATTTCATAGTTGGCCTGTGTGATGTCTAGTTTCTTCCAGTATTTTCTAGCTGAAGATAAAGACTGAGTTTAGATACAGAGTAATGGCATCTGACTGAATGATGTAGTTGTGTTGTCAGTCAGAAGTTTATACCTTGTAATCATCTGGCTGAGGCTTTATTATTGCTTTGCAGAGAGGTTTGAAAAACTAACTGAAGGCTCCATGATGGATAGTGGTAAATCATGAGTAAATGATTAAGATTCCTAATATGGAATCTCTAGATTCCAGGAAGGGCTGAGAAAGATCCCATGCTCCTTGGCATCGGGACTAACTTGATTGCAGATCAAAATCAAGGCCCACCTGTAGAAAGGTCAAGACCTGAGATGTAGATGCTGACCTATTCGGAGCATTTTTCAAATTCCAAGAATAGTAAAACTTTCAAGAATAATATACAAATGTGTTTGTTTGCATCCTGTCTTTATTATTTTTACAAATAACTCAAGGCGGGGAACAGTATCCAATACACTTTCCTCCTCTGTTTTCCTCACAACAACCACCCTGTGAGGTGAGTTGGGCTAAGAGACAGTGACTGGCCCAAAGTCACCCAGCTGGTTTCCATAGCTAAGCCAGGACTCAAATTCACAGCCTCCTGCTTTCTAGCTTAGTGCTTATCAGTCACTGTCTCCCAGTTTCCAGTCTAAAATATAATATCCAAAGAAGGGGAAATGGGGAAGAAAAGTAGAAAAAGAGCTTAAGTATCAGTTGTTAAAGTTACAGTTCTTATCTGACCATTTTAGACAAAAAGTTCAGCAGTATGCTGCCAGCTGAGTAACAGATGGAGAGAGCCAAAGGCAATTGGTTTCTCATGTAAACTATTAAAATAGCTCTACTTCTGTTCTCTCATGTTATTTTGAAGCTCAGTTCCTCTGCTGATATATTTTAATAATAGCCTGCAGCAAAATATTGTATACAAAAAGGTGCCACTTAAATCCAAACAAAAATTAATCAGTATTCTCTCACACCTAATATTATTCACAATACTTTTATACCATGTTGTAATGTTGTGTTTTCAACAAAAACATTACCTAAATATATTTGTTTCCAAAGGAATACAATTTGACTCCTCGTTTTAGTAATTCTGCTACTTTCGGTTTATTATAGCTATTTACGATGTAGTAGAAGAAAAGCTAGAAAGTGAGCCAGATTTCCAGTACATACCTGACAAGTCCCCACTTGATGGAATTCACTATGATGATAATGCTCTGAGAGAATCAATGTTTCAGCTAGCGGAAGGGCTTATCACTGGAACAGTCTTGGCTCAGTTTGATGTAAGTAATGTATTTCTAGAGTTTATGTTTGTGTATGCACTTTCTAGTTGTGAATTTTGGATTTTTAAAAAGCCACAGATTCAATTTAGATTAAGAAATGCCTGGCAAAATATTTGCATTACTTCATTGAAATTATTTTCTTAGGGTTTTTTTTATTTTTAAGATAGCGTAATTATCCAATTAATCTAAAATAGCATAATTATCCAGTTAATAAACTTAAGTTTTTCTGAACTTTTCCTAGCTAGTATTTTACACATTATAAAATAAGAACATTATTATTATTCAGTGAATACAAAGTTACTACAAAGCTATATAAATATCTGTATCCAGTACAAAATATATTGAAATGTAGATGTGCAAATGTAAATCAGATATTACCTTGGTTTAATCTAAAATATATGCTTTAAGACCAAGGTAGATAGTTTATTTTTGCAGGACTGCACTTTCAATTTTGTTCATTCATTTGTTCTTTAATATCTGACATTGCAAAAAGGCCACATCTGTTCAGAAGTAGTTTGAGAAAATGAAAAGGAGGGAACAGAGAGAAAAATGTACTCGGAAAAAGATTGGCCCAACTCATCAGGAGGATTTTAAACTAAAATTGAGGGGGGAGGGTGAGCAATCTTCAGAATCTCTAGAACCCAAACCAATCATAAATCCCAAGAAAACAAATCAAACAATGAAGTTGGCCGAGATGGAAAAAAAAAACCCCAAACAACATTCAGGAAGTGCAGGAAACATACACATGGACAGGCATAAAAGCCTTAAATGCTTATGTACAAATGCTCAAATCTTGGGGAACAAACAGGGCAAACTAGAAGCAATAGTACACGAGGGAGGATATGACATAGTTGGTGTTACAGAAACCTGGTGGGACGAAACCCACAAAGGGAATGGACTGATGGACGGATACAAATTGTTCAAAAGAAACAGGTCTATAAAAAGAGGAGGGGGAGTTACACTAAAAGAATACTACATATCTACAGAAACGCACATGATCAAAGATAAAATCTCTTCAGAATGCATATGGGTCAATATAAAAGAGAAAAAAAGTGACATTACCATAGGTGTACATTACAGACCACCCAACGAATCAGAAGAAATAGATGAACTCTTTGCCAAGCAGTTAATAAATTTATGTAGGAAGCATGCCACAATAGTAATGGGAGACTTCAACAGTCCAGATATTAACTGGGAGACAAATTCGGGAGATCAGATTCCTAACCAACCTAGCCGACAACTTTTGTCATCCAAAAGATGGAGAAGGGAACTAGACGTAAAGCCATACTGGACTTAATTCTAACTAATAGAGAAGAAGTGATAGAGGGAGTTGATGTTCCGGAAACTTGGGCGAAGGTGACCACCTCATACTGGAATTTAATATAATGCAAACACTAGCAACAGAAAACAATCCAACCAGTGTCTTGAACTTCAAAAGAGCTGATTTTAACAAACTCAGAGAGAACCTAGGAAAGATCCCATGGATGAAAATCCTAAATCAGTTTCCCAAGAAGTGTGGGAAACTCTCAAAAATGTGATCATAAAAGCCATTGGCAGCACAATACACTGAAAAAGAAAAACAAGAAATCCAAGAAGAAACCAGCATGGCTGAACAAAGGTCTCTTTGACACACTGAGACAAAAAGGACAAATACAAAAAATGGAAAGGGGGGCACACAAATAAGGCCGATTATCAGCAGACAGCTAGAACGTGTAAAGATGAAGTCAGGAAAGCAAGGGCTCAGAACGAACGAAGACTTGCAACAGAAATCATGGATAATAAAAGAAGTTTCTTCCAACATATTAACAAGAAGAAAAAAGTCAAGGAAATTGTAGGTCCACTAAAGAGAGAAGATGACAAGGAAATAACAGGCAACAGGGAGAAAGCAAAGCTGCTTAACTCATACTTTACATCAGTCTTCACACAAAAAGAAACTATAGTCCAACATACCAAAAAAAAACCACTGCAAAAGACAAATTAGAAACAAAAATTAAAATAAGCAAGAAAATGGTAAGAGAACACCTATCCGACCTTGATGAATATTAATCACCCGGGCCTGACAGATTACATCCCAGAGTTCTGAAGGAGCTGGCAGATGTTATCTCAGAACCACTGCACCACATCTTTCAAAAATCTTGGAGCACAGGGAAAGCACCTGAGGATTGGAAAAGGGCTGATGTGGTTCCATCTTCAAAAAAGGGAAAGGGATTTTTCTTTCTAATTTGTCTTTTGCAGTGGTACCATTGATGTTTTTATATTGATATATACAATTAAGGATCTTTAACTTACAGTGCAATATAAATGCAATAAACAATAATTAATAAATAATTTGTACTTTATGATCTATAGGCAGGCAGGAACATATTGTTGTGAATTATGTTACCTGAACATGCTGTCTCATTATGATATTCTGTTTTTGTTATCTAATCATTTGTTGCTATTTAGCAACTTTATAGGAAGAAGCCTGGGATGACAATGTCTTGTGCCAAATTACCTCAAAATATTTCCAAAAATAGATACAGAGACATTTCGCCTTGTAAGTACTTCTTTATGTGTAAGTAAACATATTGTCTTTAGTTGTCATTTGAAAAATTAAATGTTTGTCTTTATTTCAGATGATGCTACACGGGTTATTTTAAACAGTAATGATGATTACATCAATGCAAATTATATAAATGTGAGTTGACATTTACATCTTTTTCTTTATTTTCTGTTTCCAAGGTAAAATAGCTCAACATTTTAGATGTAAAAAACAATTGTTTGATTTACTTCAACAAGTTACAAAATGGCCAAAGTTCCTGCATTCACTATAAATGCAGAAACTCTTGTATATATTTTAATATATTTTCTAGCCTTCTCTTGAAATGAAATTTGATCTAATTAAGAGCATGTAAAGTTTTGACATCTCTAAACGTTTTTTTGCAAATGTCTTTTATTTTTAGATGGAAATTCCTTCTTCTAGTATAATCAATAAATACATTGCTTGTCAAGGTCCTTTGCCCAACACTTGCCCAGATTTTTGGCAGATGACCTGGGAACAAAGCTCCTCGATGGTTGTTATGTTAACCACTCAAGTGGAAAGGGGCAGAGTAAGTCCTCAATTGTAACTGTTACAACTAATAGATGCCAAGAGACTGGCTTTTATTTAGAAATTTGTCCTTTCTAAACTGTGTCAATATTTGAGATTGAACTATAACTTGATTAAATATTTGGTATTGGTCATTTTTAATATTTTCTCAAATTGAATGGGGTAAAATTGAACATTAGCATGCAACATAGATCACATTTTATAATAGTGCTACGATGGTGTGCTGCAGCTCTTCATTAAAATGGGAAAAAATGGTATGTTACCTTGCCATGATCCCATGTTAAGATAAATTGCTGTAGTATATTGTTCACTCTTTAGAAACATTCACTACTAGAAAAAGTGTACTCATACCATACATTTCCAAGAAGGTTGTCAAAATAAATTATACATTGACTAATTAAGTATAAATTAAGTAATTCTTAAAAAATAGAGAACTAATTCTTAGTTTAAGAATAAGTTTTAAAATAACAAATTATGAGTTAGTTTGCAACTTCTTTCCTGAATGGTCAGATCTAAAATATGTGATGACATGGCTAAAAGATTTAGCCAAGCCATTCAGTTCAAAAAGTAATCTTAAGGCATTGCATTAGTTACAGCTTTTATATGTTGATTGAATAGCTGAGGTGGCGCAGCAGTTAGAGTGCAGTACTGCAGGCCACTTTAGCTGACTGTGTTCAGCAGGTCAGCGGTTCAAATCTTACCGGCTCAAGGTTGACTCAGCCTTCCATCCTTCCGAGGTAGGTAAAATGAGGACCCAGATTGTTGGGGGCAATGTAAATATATATATACATTGCTTACTGGTGTACACCGCTTAGAGAGTGCTTGCACTTAAAGCGGTATATAAGTCTCATAAATAAATAAATAAATAAATAAATTCTGGTTGTTCTTCTGAAATAAAAAAAATTAAGAATTTTTATCTGTGAGAACTCTTCTAATATATTACTACAGCTTCTATGTTCAGAGAAGGCTTTCTTTTGGTCTATCAAAAGCCATTTTTACAAGTGACAAGATAATGCCATTTGTTTTTTAGCCTACATTAGAAAGTGCATTGAATTAGTTCCTGGACAACATTTAGAAAGGCAATAAATTCTACTGAGTTGTTAAAAGATTTTGGAGGAGGCTAAGACCAGTACTAGTTGACTGCTTTTTCTGAATCTTTTCCAGAATGAAAATGGTTATACAGTCTGTATTTAATAATATTTTATGCTGAGCCTTCCATTTATTAGTAACTGCTTTGAGCAACATGTTGCAGAGTGAACAAATTAGTAATATCAAATTCAGTATTGTGATGGAGAGCCAGTTTAGTGTAGTGATGAAGGCACCAGGCTGGAAACCAGGAGATTGTGAGTTCTACCAACCTTAGGCATGAAAGCAGTCTTGGACATTCAGCCCATGAGTTGCTCAGGCTTGGGTGACAAACCATTCGGTCAATTCCTATTGCAATCAATGGATCAATATTTGGTTGGTCCCCCCCCCCCCAAAAAAGCAGCCCTACAATTGCAAGAAAATGCTAAGAAGAAGAAAAAATCAGTACTATGATAATACATAACAGTAATGCCAATCAGTTTCCAACAGGTTGAAAAGAATGTGTTCCTATATTAAATGTAGTTATAAAATGTGAAAGAATTTTATCCAGTTAAGCCAAATCTAATATGGCTGCCACTAGGATTGATCATCTGAGGAATATAAAAATGTGTTATTATATACTTTTTACTTTATCCTACTAGTTTCTAAAAGTGATCTGCATCATTAATATAAATTCCAGGCTTAGTTATGTTGTATGTTGAGGACTACTTGCATGTAGAAAACTTTTTAATAGCAGTAGCAATAATAATAATATTGAGAAAATCACCATCAGTCAGTTGCAAAAACCAGTTTTCATCCTGATACCTTTAACACCAATAAACAACATATCTCAGGTCTCTGGGAGGGATTCGATAGGGGGATAAAAAAATGCCAAATCTAATCTGAACATCTAGCTGACTCTGTGACGAACCCTAATAATAATAATAAAAATCTGTTGACTTTAGGTAAAATGTCATCAATACTGGCCAGAGCCTGGCGGAAGCTCCTTATATGGAAATTTCCAAGTCACCTGCCATTCAGAAGAAGGAAATCCTGCCTATGTCTTCAGAGAGATGACATTATTTAATTTAGAGGTGAGACATTCGGTCTAATTGATCCAATTTGGTGAAATCAAGTACCTGAAGGCAACTGATGGAACTGGTTGAACTATGTGTCCTTGGTGTTCTCCGAGTTTGGTTGTTGATTGTTTTCTTGCAAACATTTCATTACCAAACTAAATAACCATCACTTCTAGAAGGGAACGGGGCTGGCTTTCATTTATATACCAGTGCGCTTGCCCTGTCAGTGCTATGGGATGGTCTGGGTGGTTCCTCGATTAGCCTGTTGTTTACTGTCAGCTTGTTTGTCTGAGTTGGTGGTTCTTGGACTGGGGTATTTTTTACTTCTTGATCGTTGGTCTAATGTCACTCTTGGAAGGCAACTTGCCATATAACTTCATTTCTTCCATATCACTTTTACTTTCTTTTTTCCTGTCACAACGGAGAGATTCCTAAAACAGCATATTATTGCTAATACTTTATTCCAAACAAAGGACTATTAATACATTATCAGAAATTAGATTTTAATTATTTTGCTATTATTTATTCTTAGAGAATAAATAATAGCAAAATAATTTTTAAAGAATAAGAAATACTGATGTTTAAACAAAGCTATTAATAAAGTAGTAACAAGAAAAGCACATTAATATTAAAGTACAAGAGTTAGCTTTAGACATAAACAAAAGAAACTATAACCAGGACCTCATAGAGAGAGGTAGTCTTTGACTTATGACTGTTCATTTAATGATAGTTCAGAGTCATGATAGCCTTGAAAAAAAAATGGCAATTCAAATACTTGGCAACCTGCTCGCAGTTACAATGGTTGCCGCTTCTTGCGGTCCTTTGCTCATGATTTGCTTCCTTCCCAGCTGGCTCTGGACAAGCAAAAGTAAATTGGTGAATCCAGATTTCCTTAACAACCAGAGTGAATTGCTTAATGACTACAGCTGTTCATTTAACAACCACAGTAAAAATGGATGTAAAGTCAGTTTTGGTTAAGTGATGACTCAGCTGTGTCACTTAGCAACTAAAACACCGCTCCCAGTTGTGGTTACAAGTTGAGGACTACCTGTAGTCTGAAGGGGCCTTTCAAAATTTGATTTTTTTTTCATTTGTTATAGTTTTTAAAATTTTCATATATGAAAGTTTTAAGATGCAACATACTTACTTCATATGGCCTTGTGCTTCCTGCAATAATTGAATGATACATGTTTTTGGAAATGCTCTGCTGAAAAGTGTTCCTCTTAAAGAAGAGGATGTAAGAGCAAAGCATCTGCTTTGCAGCATTACAAAATCACCCAATCTGCTATCTGCTTCATAAAAAAAAGAGGAAAGCCATTATCCATGAGGGCCTGTTCTGTTTGTCCACTTTCCCATCTGAAATAGATGGGAAACGCCCTCAACCTGTGGACAGAGGAAAATGCCGCTCAGCAGAGTAATCTGTGAAAAGGCACGTGCCTTTCTTTTGAGCACAGAGGCATTTGGCCTTCAGAGCCTTCGATGTTGCCCCTAGCAATCCTGGTTGCCCATCCAAACCTGGAAAATGGCTTACCTGCTGTCCAGCACTGCCTCCTTAATCCAACCAATGAACCTTCTGTTGATGACTTTTCAAGTCATACATCAGTTACTGTACCTGCGTTTCATAAAAAAAAACACATTCTTTTTAATCATTAATTTTTGGAGTTAAAGACATCCTGGTTTAACTTGCAGAGTCAAATTCTGAGGGGGCCAGTATGATGTGGTAGTTAAGGTGTTGGATTAGGAGTGAGGAAATGTAGGTTCTTGATCTTTAGTCACAAAAGTTCATTTGAAGTGAGGCCATTCACTCACCCCAATCTACTTCGGGGGGGGGGGGAAGAGGAGAGCATTTTGTTACAAGATGTTTTACAAATATAATTACACCTACAACAGCTGGTCATTTTCAAAATGCAAGAGCTAACATTTTCTATGGCTTTAAGGTGAAAGAAAAAGATAAGTGCTCCACTGATCTCTTATCAGAGACTGAAGAAAGCTGAAGTGTTGATAAGACTGGAGTGCTCCAGAATTAGATTATCTCTCTTCCCATAGACTGAATGAGTTTTTAATTCTGATTTCGTTATTCATGTGTGAACATTGGCATGCAATCCCTATGAATTGAAACAAGGCCTACTTGTTTCAGTTTTATCTCTAAAGGGAACGTCATAAATTCTTATCTAAAATCAGCTCAACAGTATAGTTAGTTTTACAACTCTGTAATTTATAGTTGTTATAATCTCCGCCTTATCCTCTCTGTGATTTTTCATGTCATGTCATTATATGTCATATGAGACTAATAACATAAAACACTGGGGCAGAATTTACTTCAAAATGTAAGCATGTTTTAGGAGAATATTGAATGCTTGTTTATTTTAGAGAAAATATTGTGTCTCAATAGAAAAATGAGGACCGTCCGCTCACTCAGATCCAGTACGTAGCATGGCCTGATCATGGAGTTCCCGATGATTCCAGTGATTTCTTAGATTTTGTATGTCTTGTCCGGAAAAGAAGGGCTGGGAAAGAAGAACCTGTTATTGTTCATTGCAGGTATTCTGTCTTTATGGAAATTCCTGTGGCCTCTTCTCCAATGCTTTTAACTGATAAATGTTATTTCATTGTGCAGTGTTCTGACTAATGATGTAGGACACACAAAAGTTAGAATGATATTGAAATAAGCAAGTAAATAAGGTAATATTCAATAATATGTTTCTTAGTTATTTTTTGAGTATCCTGTGTTGATACAGGTGGCCCTTAACCTCTGACCACAATTGGGATCAAAATTTCTGTCAATAAGCAGTACGGTCATAATGTGAGATATCATGTGACCCCCATCATTTACAGATGGCAGTCTGCTACTCCCTGTCGCCACTGTTAACCAAGAATCCTGGGTCATTAAGGAAGTACCCATCCCAATGCAAATCACACTAGGCACCGTTCCTCCCAGCCCTGAACCTCAGTAAGGTAAAGGACTGTCTCCAATTCCTCCTATCTGCCTGTCTCCCATCTCTGTCCTTTTAGCTGCCCTGCAGCCTTATAGGATGGCAAGCAACTCCAGAGTGAGAATGTGCCAAAATGCCATCTTGGCTACACCTACAGAGTAAAACTTCCCAGCAATTGAATGGAAAGTTTCCGACCAAAGGGAGCCAATGTGGGGTATGCCACTCTGCTCATCCCTGTACCTCTTCGGGCCTCTTTCCAGCCTTTGTTGGAGTTTTCCAGAATAAAAGCAGCACACACTTACATACCCCATCCTATTGTTAGTCTAAGTCTGCAGGCAATTGCTTCCCTCCCTTTAAAAATATATATCCCAACAAAGGAATACCCAAAGAAATGAGGCAAACTGAACAGAAGTCCAAGCTTCATGTGTTTCCTCTGCCCCCCCCCCACACCCCTCCTATTGGGAAGAAAGATTTTGAAAAGGGTTCTGTTTCCTTGGAACAAAAAAAACCCACCCACCCCTCAAAATGCATTTTTTTGCACAGCAGGTAGTGCAAATAAGAATGCCAGCCAATGGGAAAGACTGGAAGAGGTTTCACCTAATGGGAAAGCCGTGTGGTGTGAACAAGGAGCCATGTGTAGAAATGCTACTATGCTTGGATTACTTTAGCTGCTGTGAAATAATGTCATTATTAAAATAAATGATGGAATCCTCATCACACCTGTATTTTTTTAAAGTGTTCAGCTTTCAGAGTTACAAGGCAAATCCCCCAAAGTAATCTACTTAAAGATGTGCTAAATTATTTTCAGTGTTGATTTATATAAATTATAGAAGTATTTTAAAAGATTTAAAAAGTATTAAATTTGAAAATAATAACCTTTCTCTCCTTTGCAGTGCAGGGATTGGACGAACTGGAGTTCTTATTACTATGGAAACAGCAATGTGTCTTATTGAGTGTAATCAGCCTGTTTATCCCTTGGATATTGTAAGAACAATGAGAGATCAAAGGGCAATGATGATCCAAACACCTGTAAGTTGCTAAATAGAATAAACTGTTACCAATAACATATTAGGAATTGTAATTCCTTGTTTTGAAGAGGAAAATATTAGTTCAGTATATGGGTGGTCCTCGATTTTCAACCGTAGTAGTGACCAGAAAATTTGTTGAGCATTGCAGTCATTAAGTGAAGCATGATCACATCTGATTTTGCAATGTTTTTCTTAAGTGAATCACAATAGTTGTTAAGCACGACATCACGTAGCTGCGACTTGTGACCTCCCTGCTTACTTCCCCAATGATTTGTTGGAAGCTGGCTAGGAAGGTTAGAAATGGTGATTATGTCACTGCGGGACCCTGTTACCATTGTAAATGCGCAACTGTTGCCAAGTACCAAATCACAATCATGTGATTGTGAAGAGACTGTGATAAGCATAAGTGCAAGAACTTGTCATAAGTCACTTTTTTCAGACTGTTGTAATTTCAAACAGTTGATAAACTAATTCAGCCTAAACCAGTGTTTCTCAACCTTGACCATTTTAAAGCATGTGGACTTCAACTCCCAGAATTCCACAGCCAGCAACGCTGGCTGTGGAATTCTGGGAGTTGAAGTCCACATGCCTTAAAATGGTCAAGGTTGAGAAACACTGGTCTAAACATTGGCTGATTATGCAACTATCCATAATACTTTTGGATTTTGTCCATGGAGATTCTCAGTCATCCAGGTCATAGTTGTCCCAAAGCTGCTTTTTCAAAAGATAACTGGACCTTGTTTTTCCTTGAAGATGTTTCATTTCTCATCCAAGAAGCTTCTTCAGTTCTGAAGAAATGATCCTTGGCTCCATTTGTTGGGAAGGGTATAGTTTGTTAGAGATCAACTGAACTGCAGTAGTGCAAAGCCAGAATTGAAAATTGCGGCCAAATTCCCCAAGTTCTACTTTTCCTTCCCTTAACTGTCTCTCATTGCCCACCAAGGGTAACCAGTCAGTTGCAGGCAAGATGTTTTCATAATGGTCAGTCCAAGCATCAATTTAGTGTGTGACTCCCTCCTCCTTCCAGCTGGGTGATCTTGAGGCACCATCTGGAGGAGACTCAGCACTCAGGTTTCCGTGAAGCATTTCCCCTTCCTTCCCCTTCCCACAGTTCATGGCAGTCTGTCACCGCATGGCAGCGAAGTACAAGCAAGCATAAGGTGGCAGCTGATACAAAGTCCAGTTGCCTTTTGAAAAAGCACCTTTGGGATATCCATAATAGCAAAATCTTACTGATACATGGTTATGGATAATTGTTTTATATTGTATTCCAAGACAATTGTGTTTTATCATCATCATCATTCTAGCCATTGTCTGTCCACTACAGGATGAAGGCCTCTTCCGCATGTTTCCAACCTATGTGGTCCTGAGCTTTTTTTTCCAATTGGGCCCGCAATACTTGCTGATGTTGTCGATCCATCTTGCTTTAGGTCTCTTTCGTGGATGCTGTTTATCAAGTGGGATCCATTTTATGCCTGCCTTGGTCCACCTGCCATCAGTTCTTCTTGCTATGTGACCAGCCCATTTCCATTTCAATTCTTTTACTCTCTTGATGATATCAGATACTTTCATTTGTTCTCTAATCCATGTGCAGGTTTTTCTATCTTGTCTTGTAATGCCGAACATGTATCTTTCCATGGTCTTTGCGCCACTCATAGCTTTTGTATTAATTGTGAGATTAGTGTCCATATTTCACCGGCATATGTTAGAGCAGGCAACACACACTGATTGAAAACTTTTCTCTTTAGGCATAGGAGGACGTTGTTCTTGAAAATTACACTTAGCTTGCTGAATGCCTACCAACCACATTTAACAGACCCGTTCAAGTTCCTGTATTGTATTACTTTCCATTGAGATCCATTGGCCAAGGTATATGTAGTGGTCTCCTATATCTAGTTCTTCTCCAGATATAAAAAAATTTCTTTAGTGAATTTATTACATATAACCTGGCTGTTTTTCAGGTTTATTTTTAAGCCAAATTGTTCTGCTTCGTGCAGCTCTTGTATGTATCTCTTCTGGATCTTGTGAGAAGAGAACAACATCATCTGCAAATCTTAAGTTGAGTTTTATATATAGAATTAAATCTTCAAGAAAAGACCATCTAAAATAATTAATTTCAATCATGTTAAAATCAGTTGCACAATCAGACTTGTATTTAAATAGCTTTTCCTAATTATCCCATATGGTAAAAAGATACTGTCTTAAGACAGCAAATGCAAGTGGGAAAAAAAATCTCTTTACCCAAGATGATCCCTTTGAATTTTTGTCAGTTCTCCCTCTTGTTGCAGCTTCTTTGCTTCATACCACATTCTTCTAACACAGTGGTTCTCAATCTTTTTAATGCCGCAACCCCCAACCGGTTGTAAGTCAAGGACTACTCAATCGGTCGTAAGTCGAGGACTACTCAACTGGTGCAGCACTGTTTGCAGAATGGGACTTTTGGTGGGCTCAGCAGGGCAGAGACAGCCTGGACAATTCCTATTGGCTTTTGAAAGCCAATAGAATTAGACTCTATTCAAGAGAGTCTATTCTATTGGCTTTCAAAAGCCAATAGAATAAAAGGGAGTAGCACAGCTAAGGAAAAGGGGAAAAAATGGCGGACTGCGTTGTTTGGCGACCCCTGTGAAATGGTCGTTTGACCCCAAATGGGGTCCCGACCCACAGGTTGAGAACCGCTGTTCTAACAATTCAACAAATTTTAAAAGACACATATGAAGGCGGAAAAGCCCAGCTGCAAACATGAGCTGTTGCTTTCATTTGTATGGATTTCCACCATGGGCATGCAGCTCAGCATTGTATATAAGTATATTAAGTAACATTTCACATTTGAAGACATGCTAGATTCATATTCTGGTCAATTTAATCTTTAAAAAACTATGTATCTCACATTGTAGCTTACCTATTTCCTAAAAGCAAAAATGTTTGCTAATGGACAACATAATTTTCTGCACACAGTTGAAAAATATATGTTAGTCCTATTTGGCTGCTTGTATTACTCACAGTTTTCATATGCATAAAATAGAATAGAATATCTTTTATTGTCATTGTGTAATTCACAATGAAATTAAGTGCTATCCACAGTGCACAGTACACACAAGTAAAAATCACAAATAAGAACATACATTATACACAAACATCTTTCACATTCTATTCACCATTGCACTGCCCCTAATATTGCACTTCAGTGTTGTACTATACAGTAGTATTTAATATGATTACAGCTCTGGGATAAAAACTATTTTTCAGCCTATTTGTTTTTATTTTTATTATCCTATACCGTCTGCCAGATGGTAATAGTTCAAAAAAAGAATGTCCTGGATGAGATGAGACTTTAAGAATTTTATGAGCTTTCCTAAGAGAGCGGGAACTGTACAGTTTGTCTTGGGGGTTGGAGAGGGCAGGCAACAATCCTCTGGGTGATCTTAATGAACTTCTGGAGTGCTTTCCTATCTGCTACTGTGCAGTTGGCAAACCACACATAAATGCAATAGGTTAGAATGTTCTCTGTGGAGCAACGGTAGACGTTTGTTCCTTTATGTTTATAGTATTTGGCTCAGGATATATCATATAAAAGTATATAGAGTTTACTAGGTAGTTTTAGGAGGAAAAGACACATAACAAATACAAAATCAGTAACTCTATACCATTTATATGTTGTAAATTCCCTTTCTCAAACAGTTAACAGTCGTGCTACAGATATTCAAAGAATGGTACACTTGATTATATCAATGTCTTCATTAAAAACTTTCTGCTTGCCTATCCTTGGTTTTTGCCAAAAATGTTATTTGAGCACTTTAGATATTTTTCTTCTGTTCTATAACACACTTTTGTACATTCAGCAAAAGAAATCTATGGATGAAAATATTCTTGCTAAAATATTTTTCTGGATCAAGGTGTATACTTGTTTCAAATGAAGCCATTAACCATGCTTCACTATGTTTAAAATCTGTGAGAGGATGAACTTTGCATTAAAACTTAAAAGTGAATTTAAATACATATGAGTAAGATACTACACTGTTGTTTCAATTATATGGTATTAGTAAAATTAGAATCAGAATTAAGTTTACTTTTCCTTTGCAAATGTGCACATTTCCACATAATATCCACAAGATGGCATTGTCTTATTTTTCATCCTTTTTTTAAAACCACTACAGTATTTGAATCAGATATCTAGACTCACACTATGCCATTAAAAATAGTACCCTGTCACAATCACATATTGTACTTGATTTGCTTGTTTGTTTAATTTATTTATTTAATTGAGTTATTTGCTGCCCATCAGATAACAAAATGACTTTATACATAGCATATCAGTAATTAATAGATGCAGATTAAAATCTGGAAAGGTAGGTCTTGGATAAAGTGCTATTTATTAAAGCTACAGAATGTTGCAGTGTAATGACCTTCAGGATAGATGACAAAAAGACACAAGAAGTGGCCTACAATAATGTTAAAGAAAAACTGGTAAAGTTCATTAAGCAATATCTAGCTAATGAAATTAGTGATGAGCTAATGCTTTATGTTGGCATAATCAAAGTTGATTTTTGTGCACAGATGAAAATTATATCCTAGCAAATAGCAGAAAATACAGTACAAACACCCTGAATATTGTTTGCAGTTGGCCTATTTTTTCATTTGGAAAGTAGTTTGTAGAGCAAATAGCGGGATAAGTACAGTTTTTGTATATTAAAGAAACTAGAGTTCTTAATTCTATTAATCAGTAAGAGTAATTAATAAAGCATTAAGCATAAAGTATACAAAGAGTATCATTCACAGTTGGAAGATTTCAGATTTGCTAGTTAAAAGTTAGGAGTATGGGATTTAGATTCTGAATATTACATTTCTTATTGGTGTTAAGAGTTTTATATATTTAAATATTTTTAAAGTTTGGCATGGTATCTTGAAAGTTTATTGATAATCTTTAAAATTGTTTCATTCTGCCATACAAATAATTGCTCTCTTTTTTTCCAGAGTCAATACAGATTCGTTTGTGAGGCTATTTTGAAAGTGTACAAAGAAGAACTTGTTAGACCTTTAAAGACATCACTGAATAAATAGGAAGCAAAACATAACTTTCAGAGAAGACGCTACATAAGACACAAATTGTACTTGTGCTATAATGTTTCTTGAAAGAAATGATGTCTGAAAACAATGAAGAACTGAAAAGGACTTCAGCACTATTGCACTTTAAGTTAAAACTGAAAATCAGTCTCTAAAACACTATGATTTTTCTGTATTGAAAGACTCCATTCATGCTTTGCTTCAAACAAGCCACAGAATTAATGAGCTCCATGAGTTCTGGATAATTTTCCAGACTTGGTTGCAGTGCCATATAGCCCTTTTGTTCAAAATGCTACAAAAAAGAAAAAGGAAAAAAAAAAGCTTGGAATACTTTCATTCTTTGACACTTGTTTCTAAAGCAACAACAATACATGCAAAGCTATTTCTTCCAATGCTAAAGTTGTCATGTTATTTTATACCTTTTGGTGAAATATTAGCAATATTCCTTCTATTAGATACACTGCCTACTGAAACAGCACATTTCTCCCTGTGCCCTTCTAGAATCTAACCTGATTACTAACAGAAGGTTGCAGTATGATCTAACCCAATAATAGCTGCATAATGGCCCACTGAACCAGCATTTTGTTTAGTTGGTATATGAACATTCTTTGTACAACTAGTTCTAATCCTGTTTCTCGGAGGATTATAGCACCAGTGTGTTCGGAAACATTGATGGCGTTACCTATGGGAATGAATGTGTGTATTTTGTCTTAACCCCTTAAGTGCCTTGAGACTTACAGTGTATGTCTTAATGGCAAGGGACTTGTTGTGGCCCTCAAGGGGAAGCTATCATCATAATTAGATTCATTTTGAAATATGATCCTTGGTGCTTAGAATATGGTACAGTAAGTGGTCACAAAAACACTGTTCCTTTTCTCTCTGTAAGTACCTATGGGTACTTTTTACTGTGGATAGCAAAAACACTCTAGCCTATTAAGTATATAACCTTCGTTTACTGCTATGAATTGAAATGGAAATTCTGACACATTCCTTTCAACTGGTAAACTGCTAGCAATTTATAATTGAAAGCCAATATATTGATTTAGAATTTGTTCTTCTGTTTTTCCCTCGCATTGAAAAGTAATAACTTGACTAGGATATACCATTTTAATTGTATTGATCTTCTGCTTGAAATGTGAAAATCCAAGGTGAGATTTCCCTATCATAGTTATTTTTCTCCAAGTTCATGTTTGTTGCTTCTCAAGTCATGTTTATGTTTTTAAAAGAAAATTGGGTCGTTAAAAGTTTTATCATTGTCCCTCAGAGCTTTCCGATAAGCTCTTTGGGTCTCTCTACGATACTTCATTCAGGAATTGGCATATACCGTTGGAATTAGCAGTATCTGAACAGATTGCATATAGGTTTGTTTTTTGTTTCAGTCAGAAATGTTTTCTAGGGCAGTTAAAATCCACCAGGCAATGAATAATCCTTCCCTAGCTAAGTTGACAATTTAATTCTTTATGAACTTAAATCTATCTGTAGATAAATATTTTGATTTGCTGCCAGTTTTTAAAAAGCAAGATATGCAGAATATATGGAATGAGAATATGAAGTTTGTAAAATGCATTTGTGTGTGTGTGTGTGTGTGTGAGAGATTAGAAAGAGAGTGAATGAGCATGTATGTGTATATAGATACGTGCGAGCACACACACGCTCTTATATTGTGATGAGAGAAACTTACAGATATGTCAGTAGATAAGGAGGCACTTTCTCCAAATCCCCTTTTCCTGCTGTCAGTTGTACTTTCTTAGAACTTGTAGAGGGCTGGAAATAGACGTATCTATTTCTCATAACTGCTTCCACAGAGGGATCCCTCACCTTAGATTAAGAGTCTTCCATGGACAGGAGAAATTTCTGTATGTAACATGATGCCTCAATCCAACTATTATGCATTGAGGACATTCCCAGTCAGTTTAAATGCTAATATATAACCCTATGCCATGATGTGAAATGAAGGAGTTAACAAAATCTTTTAGATTTGTTTTAAATAGGCTTGTAAGCTAAGCAGTATTGTTTCTTAAACCAAATCTAGCATATTTCTTTAATAGTTCTTTATTGCCATCACACATGCATATACACCCCAGTACTACCATCAAGGACTTGATCAGCTATTTTTTTTTTTTTACCCATCTTGTGGTTCAAACGAGATTGAATCTTTCAAAAATCCCCACATTCTTAAAAGAGCTTTTTCCAAACTAGAAATATAGTTTTTGTTTTCACAAACTGAAGCAAGTGTGAAATGCACTTCTATTTCTGACAGCAGTGAAAATGAATGGAGTGATGGAATCAAGGTTATTCTAGATAAGACAACTGAAAGGCTTTTGATGGGCTCTTACTATTCTGTAGAAATAAGAGATTGGAGAGGGGAGTTTCATATGATAAAGTGCAATGTGGGAACAGGCATCAAAGTCTGCAATCATCTAAACTTTTCTTACATATTGATGTAAGCAATGTAAACCTTTTAATGGAATGCGGTGGTTCTTACTACTAGCTTTTGGTAAATGCAAATAATAAACGTACATCTATTCATGTTTGCTTAAAAAGAAGCTTCATAACTGGAAAGTGTGTTGACTTAGATACTATTTTTAATTAGAGTATTGTGTTAGTTATTTGCAAGGCTGGCTTGCATTTGGAACAAATTAAAATAAATATTAAGTTATACCTATACCATTAATTAAGCCACTTAATGATCTTACTAATATATATATATTTGTCTCTTTGTAAGATTGTTGAAGGGAAAATCTCTAGGATGGCTCAGCAATGTGTATTGTTAATATTGTACATACACTCATATTTGTATGTAAGATTGCCAAAGTAATTTAAATCTACAAGAAACATTGCTACAACAAGATACAGTATTGTAGCAAAGTTTTGGTATTTGGTACTTTATCCAACATAGAGTCAGAAATGTTAACCACCTTAATGTCTTCCCTCCAAGCTGATTTATGAGTTACTAATCCATGCCAACAAAAACATTTTGAAATTATATTTCTTTGGTAAGGACACAAACTAAAGGAATTTAAATGCCTAAATTAGATAAATGGAATAATAAAAGTATCCTTATGTCTTTGAAATGAATATAAAAAGTTAATCTGCCCACAATGATATTAATATTTTACTAATATTTTATATGACCTAAAAGTTAATACTGCTAATTGCTTTGCAATGGGTTATGAGGATCTGCATTAAGCTGAAAGGAAAAATATTTTTGTATGTGTTTCATTCTGTACAAAACATGAAAATGTGTTTCAGGCATAATGTTATATAAAATGATGAGTGTTATGGATGTTGGATTTTATGGAGAAATATTTTCTTACTATTTGCTAAAAACTGGGGAGAAAAATTGTAACATTTCCTGTTTTCTAATTCAAGTTGCTTTCATTGTAAATAAGAGCAATAGGGTAATAGTTTTGTGCCAATGTATTTTTTTTTAATGTAGAAAATTATAACTATTTAAGGTACTTTTGAAGATTTGACTCATACAGAAATCTAAGACTCTTAAGACTTGTTAAAATGGTTTTTGTTTTGTTTTGCCTTTTAAGTTGTGTGGCTTTGGGGTGATGGGGTTATACCAAGTTAAAGTATCCAGTCATTTTCTGAGGAATGCAACTGGCTAATTGCACCATTTAGAGAAATCCCTCCAAATCAAAGTGGAATATGCATCTCTAGTAATAACAACAATGTTCCTACATTTTAAGTAGTAATAGTAGTAGTATGTGAATAAAATTATTCTTGAATAGTTGATGGAAACATTTGGACAAGTAAATTTTGGATAAAAATTGAACTATGTTAAATTACAGCATTACACACCATTATAGAAACAATAAAGTCCACCAAGTATCTACTCTGCAGGCCAAAATATTTTGCCACTTTAATTCCCCTCTCCCCAAAATCATGCTGCAGCTTTCATCAATACCTTTATATAAAGATTTTACTAATATTTTCTACTTGTAAAATACACATTAGTTCTAATATCTTCAAGTGTTGTAATACTAGTATCCTGCAATTAATTTTTTAGAGATGCTGCTCTCCTCTAATCAGAAGGCCCAAAATGCAAGTGAAGAGAGCTGGAGGGGGGGGTTGTTTTGTTTTTTGATAGAACCAGTATGGATGGGACTTTGTTGGAAGCAAAGTACTGATTAGAAGGTAACATCTGTGGAAGATGCAATGAGTTGCTTCATTCAGATGCAGCTGTTTAGGGAGGATAAGTAGTAGAGAGAAAGTGGGATCTCAGAAATTTTTGCATCTGGTGGAGGCAGAATTCCCTTAGATTTTTAGAAGGGAATTCTAATTCTCTTTTGATGGACATGTCTACCCCAAACATTGTATCAAACCATACATGTTTCATTCAAGTGTCCCTCTTCACTGTGACTAAGCTGTCTACAAGGAATGGAGACACCTGGTACTAGTAATTTTATATTAATGTATAGTTGACAACAATCACAAATTATTTAGATTTATACATGCTTTAAAATCCATAGATCTACACATGATGTAAAGCTTATTTGACCAGCATATTGTCTGCATGTGTATTCCACCCATATACAAGAGTAATATATTGGACCATACAGATTAACCTCCTAAATAAATAGAAAGTGTATAAAGTGGCAGGAAAGAACTTGCCCTAGTTATTAATAAAATTCTAGATGTTATATTATAAAAGAGCAGAGGACCAGAAAAAAAAAATTCCTTCCAGAATCCCTATGAATATTACAATAAGGCTCTTCCCTGAAGAAATATTCCAGCAAAGATATTTCCTCCTCTGTATGCAGCCATTCACCATGTGCTTACAGCTAAACATTGTGGGCATAGCAGATCCTGAGATGCATTAAAATAGCCATGGTAGTGATTTATAGTACATCTAACTGAATATAAAAATTCATTTTGCCAGTTGGATTTGCTTCCAAGCAAATAAGTTGAGAGATGCCTTAATTACAAATATAGTGACTTGGATGTAAAGATACTCTTACATTTGTGAGAGGTTTCTGGGTTGCAGAAGGGGATTCCTTGCAACAGCCCTCCCCAATCTGGACATCTTCCAAATGAATGTGGAATTCTGGAAGCTGAAGTTCATACATCCAGTGGATTCCCAAATTGGGAAAGGCTGCCTAACAATTTCTGTTTACTCATTACAGATCTGTGCCACAACACATGCCATTGGTTCCTAATATTCAGGATGGATTTTAAATTCAAAAAGTGTAAAAGTGCAGTATTTTGGACTCAGTCTATTAGCTAAAAAGTTTTTGTTTTATACCGGGGAGATGATAATCTCATTTTTCTGATATGCTCCGCATTTGTTACAAATCTGTTTTAAGTGTTTGTGTGTGGACTGATTAATTTTAATATGCAGCTGCCATGTTTTCAAAAACATGGAAGATTAACTTTTTCAGTTAGTGCCATTGTCACACACTGCAAAATAAGAAACATTTGGTACAGACCTAAATCATCTAGTTCACTGTAATATTTAAATAGCTTATTTCAGGGGTCTTCAAACTTAGCCCTTTTAAGACTTGTGGACTTCATCTCCCAGAATTCCTCAGCCAGGCACACTGGCTGAGGAATTCTGGGAGTTAAAGTCCACAAGTCATAAAAGGGCCAAGTTTGAAGACCCCTGGCTTATTTTAAAAATGGAGAGACATTTAAAACATGGAATTGCTAGAAGGGTCAAACTAATATATTTGTTTTAATTTAATTTAGTTATATTGTAATGGCTAAGCTAGAAATGCAAACCAAAGCTAAAATACATTTCTCAATCTTCTGAGTGGCATAGTAACAAATAAGAAAAAAAAATCATCTTGGGTTGGATAATTGCCTGTTGAGCTTTGAAGGTTTCATTCCCTAGGTTTAAATATTCCTTCATATCAGTGGCAATCTGGGTCATTAGAATATTTAAAGAAATAATTCCACTGGCTGTTTGGTAAAAGTATATTGTCTTAAGTAAAATGTTATTGCATGTTAACTCCTACACAAAACTTTGAAGACCACTATACTACCATAATATTTTGGAAATGATTCCCCTGGGAAACAAAAGTGGATAGTTTGGAAATTAAGAGTTTGACAATATTTGCTTACTTATTACTTATTTAACATCCTTTAAGTGTATTTCATTTTTATCTAAATTTCTTAAAAGTTCAAAATAGTAGCACTTTATATAATGCTTTACTACTGAAAAACTTTTTAGATAAAACAAATCTATTATATGATTAGAGAGATGTTTAACTTAATGAGAGTTTATTGGGGTGGTTCATAATGTGAATATTTTAAAGCTTACTTTTTCAGTTTGCTTCCATCCATGTTAAAATACATTAATTAACTCCAAATTCTTAATCCTGCCATCTTCCAGATGAATTCTTAATGTTAATGCTTCTGTATCCATTATAGTGCTAGGACAGCGTATTTCATGATAAAGCAGTGCAGTTCTGAATCACAATACCTTTTTTCAGGTTTAGTTTCAGAATTGTAATAGTCAGCCGTGAGATTAAAATAATCCCATAAATACTTATGTTCTTTTATAATTATTTTTTTCAATGTCTGATATTTGCCATAAATGAAAAAATTATAATTGGATCCAGTACAGTTCAATGTCTAGTTATTTAGACATTTTCAGACTTGGGAGACCTTGGAGGAAAACCTCAAATGCAGCTTAATTATGAAAGCAAAAATTATTGAAACTTTAATATAAATGTGGGAAGGAGTTACATGCCCACACAATGCTTTGATTCCTGTCTAGCATTTTTACATTTGTTTTAAAATCTATAAATCAGCAAGAGTTGTTTGCATAACTTTATAAAGAGTAGGTAATGCACAAAAATAATTTTAAGAGGGAAAGTTGCAATTTATGTAGGTAAAGTCTATGATAGAATTGGAGCTTCTAAAACAATTAGCACTAAGTTATATTGTATTGTTCTATTGTTTAATAAACTAACCGGCATGATTATTTCCACACATTAGAGGCTGGTTTCAAGTGTAACATTAATATGGATACTAACTAATGATGTGATTCTCCTAGTAAATTCTAAAACAATTTTGTGTTTATATGTAGGATTTCTTTCTTTCCTTTTTTCTGGCACAGGTGCTATTCTGTATGTAAATACTAAAGGATATAAAATCTAGTGTCTGAATCATACCCACTGTTCTATGGGTGGCCATATTTATTTTTTGCTGGAATGAATTTGCATGTTTTTTGTGATTTTGCGTTCTCCAGTTCATCTGGATGCTACACTGCTTTGGGCTTTGACCATCTCATTTATATCTAAAGCCAAGATAACTGTCCATCTTTTGTTCATTGTGCAAGTTTGTTCTCATAGAGATTAAATTGTCTTTGAACTTGCGTGTTTTCATTTTTTAGAAACCAAGATTATTCAGCTAAGCCTGTATATTAAATAACAGGAAATGTGGTCTGTTTAACATGCACTTGGATTTGTTTAACACTGGACAATGTAGAAAGAATTAATCATTCATCACTGCAGCTACTGTATGTGTTAAAAGGGCCTTATATATTTTGCCTGCATTGGAGTATATGGAGAGTCCTCATCATTAATAAGGTACACTAATGATATACAATACCAGCAGCTCCCAGAAGAAGATAAATATTTAACATTTAACAAATCTTGTTTTTAGTCTTAAGAGCAAATTCCTTCTATTATGTGAAACATATGCTGTTATACATATTTTGTGGATATATTTAATTTTGATTGACAAATAGTTGTCTAGGTTCAAACTTGAAAAATATATAGTTTACTTGTAAATCTTAATTGTTTAATTGCAAAATAAAGATGTGCTTTAGTAAAAAAATTAAAGGATTCTTTTTTATTATGAAAACCTGTGTCTTTAAGTATGCTATATTATTCCATATTATTTGTATAGTTTTTGGAAATGCTAGATACCTATTTTCTGACAAATAGGAATTCACACTCTGTGTAAGTTTGCACATACTTGCCCCCAGCTAGCACTGAAACTGTATGCTTAATCCTACTTATAGTAAAAATTACAAATGAGATGTTTTATTCTGGGCCCACTTATTGCTTTTTGGGTTACATTTCCCAGCATCTTATTCAAAGCCAAGTAGACTTTGAGATGAAAATTATAGTCTTGTAACAGATGTTAATTTATGTTTTTATGTGTATTTATTTGCTTGTATCCCATTTTAGACCAATAAATGATGCTCAAACCAGCTAAGAAACCAGAAAATATAAAGTGTAATTAATACATGCCTAGAAACAAATGGTGAATTTAGCCCAACCATAAGACAAACACTCAACTGCACCTCTAACTTCCACTGCTTTATATTACTATATTTCTGTTTTTAATCTCTATTATGTAGCATTGCTTTGACTAGCTTCAACAATTTGAAGCAGCTAATAAATTGATTAAATACACAACTACATATAACTTTAGCTGACAAAATACAATAGTACAGGCCTGGCATGTATTTTACCTACCAACAGAAAAAATAAAATATAAGATACTAGCCAGATCACCTTTTCTTAGGAATTTCAAACTCTGAACAACCCCCAAGTTTCACACTTTCTCAGAGGAAAAAGGCCTTAGTCCTACTTGGGAAGAAGGAAAGTTCCATATTTGCTGACATTTATATGACTTTATTCATAGTACTTACTGCCTTATCTTTGGGGCAGGGCTGTTGTCTAACTGCAACAACTTAGGTAATATAAATCTTTGTGTCACACCCATTCTTAATTCCCATTTTCTAAAGGTGACTATTTTCTATCAGAGTTTGTATTCACCATAAAAGATCAAGTTGGAGCATATCATAGTAGTCCAATCCACTATGTCATTGATGAATTACAACTCTAGTCTCCCCCTGGTTACATTTGGTCTAATGTAATGTAATGTAGTGACAGATTTTATTTTTCTGGGCTCCAAGATCACCTCAGATGGGGACTGCAGCCAAGAAATTAAAAGACGCTTGCTCCTGGGGAGGAAAGCTATGGCAAATCTAGACAGCATGCTAAAAAGCAGAGACATCACCCTGCCAACAAAAGTGCGTATAGTCCAGGCCATGGTTTTCCCAGTCGCAATGTATGGCTGTGAAAGTTGGACCATAAGAAAGGCTGAGCGCCAAAGAATTGAGGCCTTTGAACTATGGTGCTGGAGAAGACTCCTGCGAGTCCCTTGGACTGCAAGGCGTTCAAACCGGTCAGTCCTAGAAGAGATCAACCCCGACTGCTCTTTAGAAGGCCAGATCCTGAAGTTGAAACTCAAATATTTTGGCCACCTAATGAGAAGGAAGGACTCACTGGAGAAGGGCCTAATGCTGGGAAAAATTGAGGGCAGTAGAAGAAGGAGATGACAGAGAATGAGATGGCTGGATGGAGTCACTGAAGCAGTAGGTGAGAACTTAAATGGACTCCAGAAGATGGTAGAGGACAGGAAGACCTGGAGGAACATTGTCCATGGGGTCGCAATGGGTCGGACACGACTTCGCAATTAACAACAACAACAACAATGTAAAATGAAAAGATCCATTTTTGACCAAAAATTTGGTCTAAATTTACACATTTGCTTAGCACATTTTTGATGGCTAACTAAAGTTTAGAGTGAGTTTTAACTCTTCAGATTGAAAAACCAGTTGAATCTCAGGATGTTATGATGAATTAGTCCAGGATATATGAATGGTTTCTAATACACTATGTTATTCCTCCCCTGAAATAGATTTTGGATCTCCATCCTTCTGGTACACTCGTTGAAACATCTGTTTGGTAAAATAGCTGAAGACCTGCCTGTTTGATTATGCTTTCCTAGACTAATAACTATTCCAGGATTAGATTGTTTTTAAATTGCCTGCGACAAAGTTTACCATATTTTGTTTTATTTTTAAAAAAACACTAATACCCTGGTGCCACCCTAGCTCGGCTGCCAAAATCCTCCGGACTGCGAGTTGTCAGTTCAAGTACAGAAAACTATTTTTAACACTTGGCTCCTATCTCATGATAGTCCGGATTTGGGCAGCCCGGATATAGAAGCCGTCGTATTATCTTTTTCCATAAACTCAAAGGTGTGGTTAAGAATAACGTTTAAAAACAGGATTGGCTTTAAAAGCCTTAAGAGAATAAACCCAGTCGGTAAACTACTAAATGATTCGTATAGGGTTTCGGGAATCGCAAGGGTTGTTTTTAAAGGGGTAGCAATCTTTTTGTCCGAAATGAGTTTGGAACGTGGCGTGGGAACCCCCGAAAACCCGGGAACCTTCCTTCTGAGACATAGCGCGTGTATGTTTCGCATTGGCGACCTGTTTTGCATGGAACCGCGCGAGCAGACCTCGCGGGGGAGGCCCAGGAAGGTGGGCGGGCGAGGGAAAAGGAGGAGGAAAGAGGCGGCTCCCTAGTCTCACTCGGCGGCCATTTGCCTCCGCCCCTCGTCCCTTTCCTCGTCGCCACCGGGATCTGATCCCGCCAGAGCTGCTCCCAGCGCCGGCGGCCGGGTCGCGGTGGAGCGCCTTTGGAAGCGAAGGCGGCTGGCCCGGTAAGTTGGGGAGGACATGGGGTGGTTTTGTTTTGTTTTCCGTAAAAACAAGGTGAAGTTTCCCGAAGAACCGCAACCAGGCTGTTGCTTCTTTCCTTTGCTTCCTCCGTCCTTTCCCTTTGTCGCTCTGAGAGGCTTTCGAAACTCCCCAGAGATCGAAGTTTCGTCTTCCTCCTTCTTATCTGTGGCCTGAGAGGTTGGGTGCCTGTCGATCCCTGGGCGGGCGGGGTGGGGTCGGTACCTCTTCAGCCTTCTTGGATGCCTCGGGGGTGGCCACCTCCCACCACCCCACAGACACGCGCGTTATGCCTTGCTCAGATGGCCGTGGAAACCTTTCCTCCCCACCCTACTCCCCGGATCTATCCGGTTGCTCCTATCGAGCGACCCCAAAGGTGTCGCGCTTACTGTGACAAAAGCGCGCTTAAGTGGGAAGTGAAGTGAGTCCAAAGTGCATCAGGCAGGAATAAAAAGTGGTTTTAAAATAGGGGATTAAAGGCCGTTGTTTTCTGCCTCAAACGCCTTGATAATTTTCACCCATGAGGGTGGTAGTCATCTCCCGCTGCCCTGGAGTCAGTCTCGGTTTTGTTGTGAAAAGTCTGAAGATTCTCTGCTCAGTCCTTGTAAATTTCCCATTTCTTCCGAAATCCGGCCAATATGGAAAAGAGGAAGTACTTGCATTTTTTGTCCCTCCCCATCTGTTTCCATATTTCCATGGCACCTATGTGTTATTTTTTAAATCCCTTCTTTTAACGGTGGACAAGGTTAGCTAAATCTTCATTTTCCCAGATTTTGATGGAAGTCCTTGTTCCTCATAGGTATGAATGAACTTGATCTGTTTAGTAAATTATGATGAGGGTATTTTAAGTATTTAGCTCAGATATTATTTTGTTAACCTGTTCTAAAATTGGGTTCTAATGCAATTCCCACTTGTATCTTGGTGGAATGGTGTAAGTTCATTCTGTATATAATGATTCTCCTGTTTTATTTTCCTAACTGTGTTGTTATCTCATCATGAAATTTCCTACAGATAATGAAATAAGTCCATAACTTGTTTGAAACTGTAGAAAGGGAAGAAATTATAGTGGTACCATATTAGAACAAAATGTTATGTGGTTAGAAAAATCACTATAAATTCAATACTCTTGAGACAATTTAAAGCAAAATGAGCAAATACTCTTTCCTGTTTTTGTCTACTGTCTATTGTACATAATGAATATTTTTGTATCGTTTACCAAATAAGTAACTCTTCCATATGCATATACACCTGCTACGCACCCCCTCTCTGCCTTATTTCTTAATGTATGTGTAAGGGTGTGCAATCTATTCTCATCCAGAAACTACCCACCCTTTTTCCTATGAATATTTTCCCTTTACCATAGCCAAGATTTCTACTTGCTCCAACTTAGTTCTCAGACTATGAAATTAGTCCTTTCCTGGACCTGTAAATGATTGTTTGGAGAAGGCATACTAACTGAAATTATTTAATTAAGCAAGGAGACAAAATTCATAACACCATCTCCCAGGTTCCCAGCCCAGTAACATGCAGCTTTTCTGTAACCTTAAACAATAGCCTTGTAGAAAATAGATCTGATGCTTATATGGTGCTATCTTGTGTGAAACTGGTTTGTATACAAGGTCCAGGTTCAATCCCACCTCACATGTTAAAAAAAAACCTGGAATAAAAGATTTATAAAGATTCTGTATCTCACAGACTCATAGTTAAAGTAACCAATATCATATAGCTAAACCAACCTACTAAAGCGCAATACATTTAAATTGCATACTCATAATTTTTTAAAGTTAGGGTCTGGAGTTGTTTAAAAAACAAATCAGGTTTGAATTAACCATTGTTAATGAGAGCAGAAACTATTATATTGACATGTTTAAGGTTTTAATTATACAAAGTATAGCTGAAGATTAAAATTTAAATCTCCCAGTTGTGCTAACTTGACCTTTGAAGAATTTCAGGCTTTTACAAGGACAACATGTGAAGGCAAGTCCAGGCAAACAAAGTAGAAGATATTTATGCCAGTTTATTCTCTGAAGTGGTGGTGGAAGATAAAACGTCTGCCATCATTTGGGTTCAACTATGAGTCATGCAGGGTATAGAAACTCCAGGAATGCTCTTAATATGTATTATATGTGAGTAGGCTGGTTCCCCTATTCTAGTTCAAAAAAGTCTTTATCTGTAGTCAAGATCATCATTTTGCGTAATACCAGAATTTATGCGTGACTGTCTTCCAATTTGTTATAATAGGAAAGTGAGTAGAAAGGCTTCTGTTGCTACTTGGTCCCTGGATCTAATAATGTGTGAACCCCAAAGTGCTTTTAAATAATTATTGAATATAGGTTGATAATTGCATTATTAGCTGACAAAATATTGTTTTTATTCAATATAGTACAGCTGATTCTAATTGGGAAACACTATCCTGTCATGCTCGCCTGTCCAAGGGATGGAGATAATAAGAATGACTTTAGTCTTCTTACTTTTAATATGAATATACATACTGTAACCATGAACTATTTAGATAGATGGGAAGTGGTTTTAAAAGTGGTTGATTCGTACTTACAAAAATCTGGGGGTTGTGGGAGACAGTACGGATTATCCGAATTCATGGGAGTCTTCAGGCATAGGATATACCTATGCCTAGGCACAGGGATAGGAGGGGCATTAGTCCCTCTCATGGGTGACCCTGTGACTTGAATGGAGAGAGCCCAATCAATCTTGTCCTAGATATTCCAGTGGTTTTCAAAGCTGTCCACATAATGCTATTTCCTTCTGTACTGTCTGCAGAGGTTGAGATTTTTGAGTACTGTTTTATTGACCCAGTTGTGGTTAAAGGAGAGATGGGCCCATGGGTGATTGTTAAGAGGTTTCCTAAGGTTTTATGTTTTCCACTATCCTTTTTAATACCTACACAAAAGTTTTGGGAGAAGTCATTCATCATTTTGGGGTGATAGTTGTACATTTCCACCTAAGGCTCATTTGGAGATGCAATTGAAATTCTGATTGTGAAAAAAGAGATTCAGACTCAGTCCAAACAAAGTGGAATGGGTGTTAATTTAAAAGCCAACTGATTCCAATCCTGCGCCATTTTTAATTCTTAAGGAGGTTGCACTTTCCCAGGAAGAGCAGTTTCCTAAGTGGATAGTCTCCTAGGACTTGCAGCCCTGCTTAAAGAAGAGTAAAAGCTATGGCTAGTGTTTTAGTTACAGCCTTACCCTGGAACAGGATGCTCTGAAGATGGTCATGTGTGCTCTTATCTCTTGATTAGATAACTAGAATTTGTCCCAGATGAGTCTGCCCCTATAGACCAGCTAGAAACTTCACCTGATCCCGGATGTCTCAGCATATGTGCCTAACTCAGCCATTGATCTACCATGTTGCACTGTTGCTATCAGTGCTTCACTGATTACTGGTGTAGTTCTAATTCAAGATGTGGTCGGTCATTACTTTTACAGTCCTATGTGCCTCAGGGCCAGGGTATCTAATAGCCTTCATTCCCCAGATAGATTTTGCCCATCCACATCCAACTAGGCAAGGCTTATAGGGAGGTGTGGTAGAAACAGACCTAACAATAGGAATTCTCTATGGGAACTCCCCCCTTTGGAACAGCTTGCTTCCTAGGCAAGAAAGGCCTCCAGTTGCATGGTTTTCCAGAATCTGGTGAAAACTTAGTTTTGCCTTTGGGTATTAGCTGTGTAGCTTTGGTGCCTATGCTAGTCTAATGCTTTAAGGGAACTTTGTATTGTTTATTATTTTATGTTTTTAACATCTGTAAATTGCCTGGAACTCTTACAGATTGAGAAGGATATTACCAAGCTAGATTCTGAAGTCTTGTGATACTTTATTCTACTTGGTTTCTACAATTCAACCTTCTGATAGTCATAAGGCCCTTGGTACTCATAGCAGGGATGTAACCAGTGATGGGGTTCAAATATGTGAACAACCGGTTCTCTTTGTGGATGCCACTTCCGGGAGTCCGTTCTGGGCCTGGGCAACAAAAAATTAGCTACCGGTTCTGCCAAAGTGGTGCAAACTGGCTGAATCCCACCACTGGATATAACATTATTTTATGTATACCTGTTTTGCAAAGGTTTTTCCGTAGCACAGACACATTTAGAAACTTTGTGAAATGTAAATATGTATCTGCTTTAGCGAGAAACAGTGAAGTCTTGATTTCTCTTGGAACTTTCACAGCTTCTTTTTCTGGTCTGTTTAGGAACAATGTTAAGTTTCTTTCGCCGAACACTTGGACGCAGGTCTATGCATAAGCATGCTGAGAAAGAGCGGCTAAGAGAAGCTCAGCGAGCTGCAACTCACATCCCTGCAGCTGGAGATGAGAAATCTATAATTACATGCAGGGTCTCTTTGCTGGATGGAACTGATGTCAGTGTGGACTTACCGGTAGGATACATTTTAATTTGTTTTATCAAGAATCTTGGCAAATGTTTGAGAAAATATCTTCTCCTTTGTCTCTCAGTTGAATAGAATACATTGTGTTCATGTGATTTAGTCAAGAATGCAAAAATTACTAATGGGTAGTGGTATGGTAAAAGGTTCTTTAAAGCAGAGGTCCCCAACCTTTTGGGCACCAGGAACCAGTTCCGTTTTCCGCGGAGCGGAGTGTGCGTGGTTTTGTGTACTGCCTGCATCCTACAGATGGGGCTTTGCTTGTTTGTGCGGACTGGTTGCTGGCATGCCGCGGCCTGGTACCGGTCCATAGACCGGGGGTTGGGGACCCCTGTGTTAAAAGATTCTTTAAAGATGTTGGTCATAGGTCTTCCAACAAGGATTATTAGAAAAAGTGCTAGGAACAAAAACTACTGAGGGAATGGACTCTCTTTCCCTGTAGCCCCTTGCATGTTTTCCAAATCTTCTAGAGAAGGTTGGGAACTCTCCAAAGCAGATTTGAGTTGTGTGAGAATATTTTTCTTCCAGTGTGTTTCAGATTAAACAGCAGTCAAAGAAAGAAAGCTGTTTTGACAAGGTTTTGGCTTTCTGTGTGTTTTTTTTTCCAGAAGCCTCACGAGTGCTTTGTAAAAGAAAAAGATTTGTATGAGTTAAATCTGACTCCTGGAGTCTTCATGAATGAATCTGTGAACTTCTCTTGGCAGTGATTTGTATGATTTGGGGATACTTTTTTCAACTTTCCTGTCTAGCCAACACCCTTGCATTCCCATGTTGTTTAGCCCAATTAACCAGAGCTCAACTTTTTTAGCTAAATGCCCTGTCTCTGGCTGATTTATAATTCAGTTAAAGATGAAAAGAATTATATATGAGGTTTTGTCTTATTTCTTTTTGAGCAATACTGATAACTGGAAAAGATAAAATGCACAAGTCCTATTTCTAAAACAACAAAAGAATTCTTTTTTTGAAAAATAGTAGATTTAATTTAATCTACTTAATAGTAGATTGAAATATTTAACTGCTGTTTAGACTTTTTCTGGCCGGACCAAAATTTTTGAAACCTAAATATATTAATCTAGAAATGGATGAATTTTTATTCCACTCTCTGTATTGGTAAACAATTACATTTGCTTCATTCTTTACTGTCATTGTAGATCAAATACTAAAGTCCTAAGGCCAAGAAATTAAATGAAGTTGAACGTATAAATTAAGTAACTAATTAGGTCAAAAGTCAGTAGTTTAAGACAATGTCTTTCTATTTTGCCGAAATAGAGTTCTGTTGACATCTATTATTATTAAGATACATCTTTTTAAAAATTAAAGAGAGTTCCTTCTTCATAGTATCTCATGAAATATGTTGTACTTCATTGAAAAAATGTTTTTTTCAATGTATTGCCTCAGTCACAGCAGTAACCCAAAAGCTTACAAAATGTGCACATTTAAGAGTTAAAACAAGTAACAGAAAAAACTATTCATAACAAATAATAGTAATGTTACTAACATTACTAGGGAAAACAGCATAAGTTACCAGACATATTAAAACGTACATCTATCAGTGGGATCACAAACCATTGGGCTGAAGATTTGCCAAAAAAGCCATGTTCTAAGGGCATTATGAAAACACAAAAAGTTTGGGGCCGTGCAGACTTCAGGAGGAATTCTGGTGCAGAGGGCAGGTGTGGTCTCGGAGAAGATTCATCTATAAGGACCTACAGATTTTACTTCTCAGTTGATGGAGCAAGCTAACCCTTCTAGATCAGGGGTTCTCAACCTTGGCAACTTTAAGACTTGTGGACTTGTGGACTTCAATTTCCAGAATTCCTCAGCCAGCTTTGCTGGCTGAGGAATTCTGGGAGTTGAAGTCACAAGTCTTAAAGTTGCCAAGGTTGAGAACCCCTGTTCTAGATCTTACAGGATGGGCAGAAACAACTGGAGAGAGGTAGTTCCTTGGGTATCTAGGTCCTAAGCCATGAAGGGTTTACTTTAAATTCTAGCCAATGCAGTTTACATAGTGTTACATAGGCAAAATGAGGTAAACTCATGCTGTTGAATTTTGGATCAGCTCTAGCTTCTGGGTGTTCTTCAGGGGCATCCATATATAGAATGGATGTAGTCTTTATGCAGGGTGACCAAGTAGGAATAACTGTATGAAGATCATAATCTGAAGATCCCTCCTACATGGTGAAGATAGTAACTGGCACATCATATGAATCTGCAAAAAGTCTGTATCTTTTTCATTTATGGAAGAGATATTGCTTGAGAAGGGGAAAAAAGGAGTATCTTGTGGGATTAGCAAGATTGCTGGGAAAATATGCCCTTTGCAATGAAATGGCTTTATTCAGACTTGTGACAAATGCAGACTTTATGAATTACTCCTTATTTTATTTTTATTTTTAAAACAAGCAGCCTTTTCTCAGTATGAATTGCCTCAACATTCTGTGAGTGGAGATGTATTTAAAGCTTCGGTATTGTGTGCATTTTAAACTCTTTAACCTTTTATGAATGTTGGGTAAGGGAAAAAAGCAAGCAGGAATTTAGGTTGACAACTTCTGGTAACTGCTTAGGGGCATTCAAAATTTCCTATAACAGAGATTTGTTCTGATTTTCTCTGTATCTAAATTGATATTTGGTGATATTTTTCTTCCATTGAGAGAACAGTAGTAATTGTGTTTCAGAAGGTCACTTGCTGGATTTTATAAAAAGTACATAATTGGTATTTAAGTTTTAAAATTATTCAAAATGTATACTATTCATAAATTGTAACAATGGAAATATTTCAAGGAACTACTTTTAAAATTTTGCAACTTGAATTGAATTTTGCAATTTAAGTAAAAAAAATCATTGTATGGCACAAAAGGGCTTATTCTGGATTTTCTAATATAATAAGAAAAGAAGCTGAATTCTTGCAGAGAAACTTTCAATATCAGATACTTTAGGGATGCAGGATTCCTGGAATAAAAACAATTAGTAACAAATGGTTTAGGAATAACTACATACCGTAAATGCTGAATATTGTAAAACTTGAACTACATTTGAGATGGGATTGTTGATTGAAATATTTGATTACTACAGAAATACTAGATAGTATAATTGTTATTGGAACTTAAAATAAAAAATAGTTTGGATAATCACTTTTAGAATTTTTTAATTTCCTAATTATTTTACCTAGATCCTAGCATATATGCATTCTGAAATAGAATGAAGGTTCTTGAGTAGTTTGTTTAACGCTGAAGTTCTTGTTATGGTTAGGAATGAAATGCACAATTTCATGACAAGAAAGAGCCTAAGCCCCGTCGTTGCCAAACAGCTGATAGGCGCAACTTTTGAATCTTGTCTGCGGACTGACTACTGTATAGCTGCTGTTATCAATGTGGTTTTTGTGAACAAGCTTCTTAAGCACGCTATGTGCACATGCCACACTGTAACCGTTTTTTAACTGTTATGTAAATTTATGCACATGCTCCCTTATCATTTAGCCCTTTGCTCTGATGATGTTAACAGGTTATTAACAAAAGCTTAGCAATAAAAAAAGCTTTTGCCTTACATCCCAGAGTTCATTATTTTTATCTTATTGACTTTAAATGTCCATACCTAGGATTCCAGTATTCAAATTATCAAAGACGTACATATTATTATCAATTACATCATTTAAAAAAAAATCCCTGGAGACAGAACCCATGATCTGCATAGATATTTCCTTTTGTTAGAAAGATCTTATCATCAGAAAGTTTATCTATACATTTCAAATGAAATCTAGATAAGTACAACTCCTACCTGTTGTTTTGGTCCTAGTTTATATGGAATGGAAGTTTGTCATCTTCCATGGGGGAATATTGTTAGATACCTGAATATGGATACCGTGTGTCTCCTCAGTCTCCTTTTCCAAAGACTGTTCTTTCATTCTTCAGCCTGTTCTCATAGGACAGGTCCTCAGTTTTTTGGATTATTTTTGTCACTCTCCATTAGTCTTGTTCTAATTTATAATATGGGAAGGTGAACATTTTTGTCTCCTGTGGGGTAAGAAACAAGCTGAAGTCTGCACATCTTTTTGTCCCTGCGTTCACCTCTTATATTTGAATATTTAACTTTCCTCACAGTTGAAAACGCCATGCAAATTCACTGGCTGTAAAGGGGATGACAACCTGGCTTTGGGAGCTGGGAAGGAATGAGTGAACAGGGGAAAGGGGAACTTTTCAGAAAAGGTTGCTCAGTCCTGAGAAAGAGGAAAGTATGGGAGAAGAAAATCAGAATAACCCCAAATGGGGCAGAGCGAAAACCTGAGGGCTTTTCAAGATTCTGTTACTCTGTAATAAAGAGCATTCTTGGAATTCCTCCCATGACTGTTTTTTACCCACACTGGATCATGCTTTCTCAGCCCAATGCACCTCACAGGATTATTGTTATAGGGGAAAAACTGGAAGAAGGCATGTTACGCATGCCATCTTGTACCCCTACAACAGGGATGTCAAACTGCCGGTCCACAGGCCGGACGTGTTACGGGGAAACCGCGCCCACCCCATTGCCAGCAATGAGGGGGAAAGTTCCAATACATCGTGTGACGTAATGTGATGTTGCGAGTTTGACATGTCTGCCCTACAGGAAAGGTGGAATAAACATCTCAACGAATCATTATCAGAATAGTCAGTGTGTTTGTTCACTGCTTTTTTTTTTTTTTTGGTCTCTGGAATTGTTTTTCAGCAAAATTTGTTTTGTAGCTGTAGTGTCAAGAGACCTGGAGTACTTCTTTGCGGCTTCTGGCCTCAGAAGTAGAGTTAATATGTAACTAAGATGTATCTTCCTAACTTGATTCCTCTTGTAATGTCAGAAAAAAGCCAAAGGACAACATCTGTTTGAGCAGATAATGTACCATCTGGACCTTATTGAAAATGATTACTTTGGTCTACGATTCATGGATTCAGCACAAGTGGCTGTGAGTATCATAGTATTTTTTTTGATATGATCATATAGTAGATTAAATCATGTTAACAGGAATTTATGATGTATGTGTTATATAGTGTGTTATAAATTTGTTTTTTATGCTAAAACAATTTATCGGTACTGTTACTTTAGAGCAGGGCTTTTCAACCTTTTCACAGATTGTACCACTTTTAGGACATGACAATATTTGAGTACCACCAGTGCTTAGCAAGGTGTCAAAAACTTGATGATTAAAAAAAAAGGGAGGGATTTTGGGTTTTACTGATTAGATTCGTTTGTTGTTCCAGAAATGGCTAGTTTATAATATGGAAAAGTAAAAAGTTGAGGTTCAGTGTTAATGCTTCCTTCTACTGCAACAGAGGAAGTCTGTTCTTTTTCCATTCTCCTCCTCACTTTACCCCCCCTTTTTTTCCTCCCCACTGTGTCCTACTATTTGCTTTTGTATTTTTATATTTTATTTTCTAATTTAATAAAATGTTACAAACTAGGAAAAAAGGAAAAAAGGTACCAGTTTTAATTTCTTCTGTGGCAGTTCCTTTGCTGAATCACTTTCCCTTTGCACTGACAAATGTATGATGAATTTATCCATATTTATTAATATGTACCAGCTGGCTGGTCGGCCCTTCTTCCTCTCTCCCTCTCCTCTTCTTCCTCTCTGCCTTATGAGCTCTCCTTCCACAGTGTAGTAAGAATGCACATACACACACACCAGTCCCTTCACTGTACCCTTAAAGACACAGGAGTGAAGCGCAAAGCAAGAAAGGCTCACAAAAGCCTCCCAGAATAAAGAAACACTAAACTCCAGGGTTTTTTTTTTTTCTCTTTAAGCTGCCTCAGGTATGTCTCAGTTTTAAACAGTGTAGCAACCTGAGCCTAAATTAAGCCTGTTTGCCTACAAAGAAAACTTGCTAAAAGCCATAGACAGACTCAAGATAAGGGGGTAAAACAAATTACATTTGTTTAAAGGGATTAAACCTATGGAAGCCAACACTTTGGACTCATTGCTAGCCTTTGTGAAGCAGACTAAAATATTCCATTAACCAAAGCACACAAACCGAGCCTCTGAATTACAAAATGCTGTAAAAACTGTATAAAAATCCTTATGGTAATCCATTCAAGCTGCCAGCTGACCAGGAACCCACTGGCTTCTGAAATAAGCCAACCTCCTTTCTGACATGCTTGTCTCCTGGCTTTTCATTTCATCAGTGCTGATTGCATTCTCCTGGCTGGAGAAAACAAACTAGGGGTCCTTTTCTTCTAGTAACAGCTGCTGCTTCTTCCCTGTCTCTTTTTCCTCCCTTCCTGCTGAGCTCTCCTTCCACAGCTTCTTCTCCGTCCCCTTCTTTTTTCCTGTTGTCTTTTTTCCCCCTTTCCCACCAAAACCACCTCCTTTTATATCCTCTCATCCCCCCCCTTTTTTTTTTTCTTCAGTTCACCTCCAGCTCCATGCTGCTTCTGGAAGTGCCAATCATCTGGAGCCCTGTGGCGATCTTGGGGCTTCTGCCAAGCCCCGACAGTCCTGCAGCTCCAGCTGCCTCTCCCTCAGGCTTGGGTCGCTTCAGCTCATTCCCCTCTCCTGCTATACATGCCAAAGTACCACTGGTGGTACGTGTTCCACCGGTTGAAAAGCCCTGCTTTAGAGGCTGCTCTTAATCATGCCAGTTGGAAATATCCAACATATATGTAGAGTGCTCAAATTTGGCAAATGTTAATTTAACATTTTTTGGAAGAGTCTGGTAATTCTTTTTCTCACTAACAAATTTTATTAAGAGGCATAAGCTTTCAGATACCTTCTGACTTTTTGCCACCATAGGTAACATGGTTCTCTTATAGGGTTGACATCTTTCATTTGCTGTTCTTTCATGTGCTTCTGCCAGCTCACATTAAGAAAATGCTGCTTATGGCATATTTTCTTATAAGGTTTGCCCATATATCCTCAGCTTATTGTCAATACTGGGTACCATACTAATCTAAAGTAACAAATCAATTGTTTGTATTTGTGTTCAGTCATTTTCACTGATTTATAGTCCGGATGCATTAATAGTTCTTATGTGTGGGTAATTTTTGCCAATCCTTTGAAAAATTGTTGGGAGTTCTTTTTATGCAAATCATAATGGGATATAGTGTCCAAGGAAAAAAAATTGCTTATTTTGTTCTATGAGCTATGCCTATATTGAAAGTTTTGTGTTTCTTACTGTTCATCTTGCCCCTCCCTCTCACTTTATTTTAGAAGTCAGCAGTGAGTTCAGAATCCTTTCTCATTCAGCATAATGAAAGATATTCTATCTAAGTCCCAACATCTAACATTTCTCTTCTTGATTAGCTAAAGTTAGGAAATATTAATGTACTTGATTTATAGCCTTACTTTTTTCCCTGGCAAACACTCAGGTTTTTAAAAAAAGTAGACTATAAAAAGTAAAATGAATAATACAATAATATTAAAATAATCTAATAGTTAAAAGCATGGTAAGTAAAAAAGATGGATTTTTAGGGATTTTCTGAGTGTTGAGAGTGTGGAATTCAAAGATTACATTCTGGGAGCAATGAAGGAACTGGTCCTATTGCACATACCAGAAAAAAAATGAGTCTGTGTCACAGAGGGTGTCTTCAAGAGGTTCTTTCCTGCCATTCTTAACAATTGGATTGGTTTACAATCAGTGACATCAGAATTTCCCTGAACAGTTTGGGTTTTTTCTCTCTCCTTCTTCCTCTATCCATTCATCCATCTGTCCATTCTAAGACTCCAATATTTGAAAAGACTTTGAAAGTTACAATTAACGCATATTTGGATTTCTTGATGATGAATTCTGGTTCCGTTTGAATAGTTTTTGGATCTGTTATTTTTATGCTAGCCAGAAAATTGTAGTTGAGTTTGGTTCTGATCTGCTGCTGCTGCTGTGGTTCAGTGAATATATAGGTTCAATTTTGCTGAACTTTTAAACTCAGGAGTTGGAAACCTCAGAGTCTCCAAATGTTACTACCGTATATGCCGGCATATTAGGCGACCCGGCGTATAAGACAACCCCCGTCTTTATAGCCGGGCCGCATTCCTAGAACGTTGTCTTATACGCCGGAAACTACCAGTATTTCCGGCGTATAAGACAACTCGGTGTATAAGACGACCCCCGTCTTTGGCGCCGATTTCAGCACTCGCGGAAGTCGTCTTATACGCCAGCATTTACAGTAATTACATCTCATTATTCTTGGGCTACTGAAAATTCAGCATGGATTAGTTCTTGTTTCTGACATCAAATGTAGTGATCAGAAATTTAGGAAGCGTCAATCAACGTCATAGAATAGATACTGAATGTTCCTCACCCCTACAGAGGCTAAAATCCAAATGGGAAAACAGATTCCTTCTCTCTAGTTAATTGATGATACAGTTTATTTGAATTGAATTTAAGCTTGTTTTACAGCTGGTTTTGGTCCAGAAGAATCCCCGATCAGTCATACAGTATACATGATTGCTATTGGATAGATAGGGGAATGCATTCCTGTTGGTTCTGTTGAACTTCCCTGTGGTTGCTGAACATTTGTGGACCTTGCTGGTTTGGGCCTGAAATCACAATTGGTTTATGGCAAGAATAGATGGATTTAATGCTCCTGTTTTGCCCCTTAAATCCTCCCATTGCTAAACATTTTAGTCTAATTCACTCCATCACTATCAACACCACACTAACCTCCTGACCTTGATGATGCCATTTTAAATAGTTTTTCAGTCACAAGGAGATCCCTACTTTTGAAATAGGGCAACCCATAAGAGTTCTGTTTTGTTCCTGTAATTATTTTTATTTGTTTCCAATATGTAAGAATTCTTGTAGGGGTTTTTATTTGTTTTTGTGTCTCATTGTTTAATATAGCACGTGCTCAGGATTTATTGAATCTTGCCATTGTATACTTTCCTAGTATAGGAGCTAGGATTCCAACTAAATAAACAAAACTATGCAGGTGTTAGATGTCCAAATCTTTTTTTTTAAAGTTCTCCAAACAGATGAAAATGAATTAATTCATTTCTTCAGATTGACCACATTTTACGACTCACTGTCAAAGAGATGGCTTTTTAAAAAGTTTTATTTTGGCTGTTAGGGGCCACAAAGGTTGTGTCTTGTGATGTCAAAATCTGAACAATTGATAGGCTTTAGGGGTGAGGTAAATGCACGCATTTTGACTTACATTTTATTGAGAACATTGCTAAAAATTATACTGAAAAATTGGCCACTTTGCCATCAAATTTTAGCCTAATAACTTGGGTCTATAAAACGGAAGCCAGTGGCTACTTACAGACTTACAGGTTAACAACCTGTTCTAAAAACATTACTACCCATGCTTACTGCGGAAGTAGAAATCATTCTGTCAATCAACCATTGGCATGAACTTTCTGAGTCTGCCTACAGGAGCATTTTCTTTTCTCCAGCTAAAGCAGTTGTTGTGAACTTGTGGAAAAACAAGCTTTCCCTTTTTGGCCAACCTGCCTTCTTATCTACAGGACATTCTGTGTTAACAGAAGAGTATTGTAATGGTATTAAATGTCAAAGTTACAGTAAATTATTCTCTGGCCTTTATTTTTGTGTAATTGTGTTTCTTGTCATTTTAATTTTTGAATTTGGAGATATTGCATCATCTTTTCAAAATGAGGCTTAATTTTTTTTGGTCCCCAGTTGTGTTTTTTAGAAAATGCAGTTCTTGATGGAAGTAAATAGGCCATGCTAAGCTCTCAAGGAATGCTGTAGTAGAGACTAAATAGCTTAATATGTAATAGGACAGGAGTCCCCAACTTTTTTGGTTTTGCGAACTGCCAGCAGCGGTTTGAGCAGAGGGAGGGAATGACTGCGGGTGCACAACCTAAATCCTGCACATGCACAAACAAAACCGTCACTTGCTCATCACTTTGGTGGCTCGCTAGTGGGTTGCGGCCTTAAATTTGGGGACTCCTGCAATGGGAAGTAGAATTTTTTTTTATGTACTCTTCAGCAGCATGCCTCACTAAATAGG